GGGGGCTGGTTACCAGGATAATTCTGTGCCTAGGGCATGGGAGAGTCTCACGAGGGCGTGTCTCATGAGTGCTACGCCTCCGCCTTGGGGAGTTGCGTTGAAGAAGGCGGTTCTGATTTTTCTTTCTTTTAGATCAGCTGCGTATTGTTGAACAGCAGACCACGTCTTCGGAGAGACGGTGTTTTCAAAGTCATCCAAGCTCGCTAGACGCACTGTGAAAGCAGTGTCAACCTCCACCGTGCCCTGGAAACCGACTTGCAGTAATGGCACGTTGTCCGGACCAAACAATCTACATCATTAGCCCCGTCCACGGGTATGATGGCATGAACCTAACCTGACACATTTACGACTCATTGACTCCGCCTGCTCACCAATTTCCCTAGAGTCGAAGTTGACACCAGTGGGCAGATCCCGCTGCGATTGCCACTCTTGAAGGTGCCGTTCTTCTGGTAGGACCAACGGAATGACATCGAGTTCTGTCCACAGGCGCGAGCAAAGCTCTGGACAGAGCGTAGCCACGCGCTGTGGCATTGCCAAACCCATGAACTTGTCTGAATGTTCATCTGTGAACCGCCTCAATCGAGAGAGAACGTAATTGATGATGACAACATGGCTGGGACCCGTCTCGCCGGCGGACATGTCGCGCTGGATGAAGTCTAGCAGATATGTTGTGTCTCGAATTGCGACGGCTACAGTTGATATCGAGTCCATGGTCCACACTGAAAACCCGGCATAGATTCTCTTGACGCGGTTAGCGCTGGCACTCTGAATGATTTATATATCAAAGGTGGTATCATACTCCAGACGGCGGCGCTGACCATGCATTTCCGGCCGTGGCACACATTCGTCGCTGTTGATATTCTGAAGGCCGACGCGAGCCTTCGCACTCTTCCTTGGTCATGGCACAGACTAACAATAGGCAAGCACACTCAATTCAACAGAATGAGCGCTAATGGTGAAGTTCAGAGCAATCCCAATCTACGGCTCGGGAACCGCGGGTTTACATGGGAGGAGTGATTTGGACATGACCTCACACCATCGTAATGACGTGTTAAGCATGTTGGAGAATTCTTGTTCATATATTGTTTCGTTGTCTTCGAGTACCTGTTCGAATACAAAGTACCTAGACTGGCATTATGTTGTGTTTGTGTGCAGATTGATATGCAACGCTAGGGATGGTGATTGATTGTCCCTTGTTTGTATACTCCTGGCGGAGATCAAATGAAATGCGCATAATGCATTGATTTGCACGAGAGGATCTCCTAGGCACGAGTATCTGCGATAGATCTGTTCGACAGGTCATTTATCAGCGGAAACATGAGTGATAGATAGAGAGATACTCGATATAGAGAAAGTGAAGCTGAAGTCGAAACGGCGGATGCTTGGCCCCTCTGCTGAGTCAGCGCAGCCCCTTTTACTCCCCCCTCAGAAAGCCCGAAATGAAGCACTCGACGATTGTTTCTCTCTTTCTCGCTTCAGTCCTTTCCTTCTCTTTCTCTTCTGCTGCCACTTTGCTGCTGCCGCTGCTGCTGCTGCTGCTGTTTTGCTTGCTTTTTCTCTCCCTCGTCATTTCTTTTTCTTCTCCCGTCTCTTTCTTCGCTGAGGAATTTCGGCCAAGATTCGATCTAAATCGACTGGTGCATCACTGGCTTTGAATAGCTTTGATTGATTTACTGGGTTGTTGTCGCTGCGCATCGCCTGGTTTCATTGTTTTTGTCTTACCTGCTGTTGTCCTGCTACTCTGCTGCTGCTGTGCTCGTCGTTACGCGGACCTGCAGCCACTAATTACTCGACCCTGCGTTTCGCCTAGCGCTTCACTCCCTGGCCAATTCCCTGCAATTCCGCATTTGAAGTCCTCAATTCGATTCCTCGAGTCGTCAATTGCTTAAAACCTTCCTTTCCCGCGCCGTTCGCTACCTTGCGAACACATTCGTCCGATTCACTCCTTCCGAATACTCGATCGTTTGCGACCCGTTCAGGAGTCGCAGAATATCTACGTGCAAAATGGGTGGTCAAGTCTCTAAAATTATGGGGAAGATTTTCGGTACCAAGGAAATGCGGATTCTGATGTTGGGTTTGGATGCTGCTGGAAAGACAAGTGAGTCGGCCGGTCCTGAAAAGGGGGAACGGAACGGGTATACTGACGATTGGTTTCCACAGCAATTCTCTACAAGCTGAAACTCACAAACCAAGACGTGACGACCATTCCCACCGTCGGATTCAACGTCGAAAGTGTTACTTATAAGAACGTCAAGTTCAATGTTTGGGATGTTGGTGGTCAGGACAAGATTCGTCCTCTATGGAGACACTACTATTCTGGTGCGCGCATATTGTTGCTGTGGTTGAGGATCATCGCTAACTTGGTTCAGGTACCCAAGGATTGATTTTCGTTGTCGACTCGAGCGACACGGCCCGTATGGAAGAGGCCCGTTCCGAACTGCACAAGATTATCAACGACCGCGAAATGAAGGATGCGCTTCTGCTGGTGTTTGCCAACAAGCAGGATATTCAGGGCCACCTCAACCCGGAGGAGGTTATCAATGCGCTGCAGCTCACCCAGTTGAAGGACAAGCTGTGGTATGTGGCTCCTAGTGTTGCTACTGACGGTACCGGTATATTTGAAGGCTTGGTGAGTTCCTGTCTCTCACTCATTGGTTGTTCTATACTGACTGTCCCAGGCCTGGCTCTCCAACAACGTCAAGACTCCCCCGCAGAAATAATCTCCTCGACACCTACTATCCCTACCGGATGTTGATCTCTGTACAACTCTTCTGCTCATGTTCGTTCTTATGACCCGACGCAGCATCTTCCTTTTTCCGCCGTTTCCATTTCTTACCTTCTATGATATCCCTCCGTTCTTACGCGGCCTCTATTTAATCTAATCCATAATCCTGTCTTTCAACTTCCTTCCGTTGCTGCTTGCTTGCTTGCTTAGACACTCAAAATTGAAGCTCCCCGTCCCGCCCGGCTCTGTTTCTGTTTTCCCCTCCATGTACAGTGCAGTGATACCGAAACCTCATAATAACCACTCTGTATCTAGCATAATCCTAGTCCTAATCATATTCCTTACTTAGTCTCTTCTGAACAATCGACCTTCCCTCATACCAACTCAATAATGACCTCACTTCTTTCTCCCCGGGGCCCAAGATCCCAACTCCCCGATGTCCCAATCCAATCATCACATCCACCCGTCAGCATTACATCGACGTCCCGAGTCCATGGATAACAATCCCCTCCACTAGTCTTCAATCTAGCCTTATCACGCCACGCGGGGATAAGATTCGGGGGGCGTGGTCTATGTATATCACTCTGACGGCAAGGCATTGGTTCTAGATCTCGAGATTAGCCATAAATAGCCCTGAAGATGTCGTGTTTTCTCCTGGTCTTTTTCTCTTTTCTCTTCTTCTTGGTATATAATTAATCATAATATCGTGCTACTTGGCTTTCGTCCACAAACATCTCAAAAAAAAGAAAACAAATATCTTAAAAAAAAAATACAAACCAAGCAACCTACCAAAATGCCCGCCGAATACGACGCAGGAGATGTTGTCCGCTACAAGCCTGTTGGCGGTATGCCCTCCCTCTTTCTTCTTTTCCACATTCCAGAGGATGTTGATGAACGATACAGGCCCCGATTCCAAAACCTCCGAAGCAGTGGGCACCATCCGCGGCGTCGCCACCGAGGACCAGAACATGACGCACCGGAACGTTCATGCTTCAGAGGAGCATCCTAGATATGAGGTACGCTTTGTCTAGAGGAGGAAAACAAAAGGGGGAGGGGGAGAAGCTGACTTTGGTGATAGATTGAGAACAACAAGACGCACAAGAGATCTGCGATTAGTGAGGCGAATATTCTGGGACCGGGGGAGTAATGGAGTTGATAGAATGATTAGACTAGTTTGAATGAACGGGTTTAATTATTGACTGCGGTACTTTTAGCATTAGTAGAAGCGTGAACTGATGTTGTACTACCTTGGGGAACGTAGATCATCCACAAGGTACCCGGCCTTATATATACTTCGTATGTCATGTATCACGTTTAACAATCAATTCGTTAACTATTTACAAAGTCAATTACAGCTCACCAGGCCAGACATCATTAGCAATATCCCGCACCAACTTCAACTTGTTAATCATCCCCTGGCGATCAATAGCATTACCCTCACGGTGACTAGCAAACCCACACTGCGGGCTAACACCGCACTGCTTCAACGCCTCCTCAACAGAAATCCCATTACCCTCAGCAATGAACTTCGCAGCCTCATACACCCGCTGCTTCATCTCCTCCTTATCCTCGAGCTCAGGGAACTTGGAGGTGACAACGCCCAGAATAACGTTCTTGTTACGGGGCAGTTCCTTGAGGGGCTGGAAGCCGCCGGCACGCGCGGTGTCGTACTCGAGGTAGTAGGTGTCGACGTTGAGTTCCTTGAAGAGCTTGGTGGCGATGCGGTCGTAGCCGCCTTCGGAGAAGTGGCGCGAGCCGACGAAGTTGCCGCGGCAGATGTGAATGCCGATGTGGAAGTCGGCGGGGCGCTTGGAGAGCGCGTCATTGTACAGCTTGATGTACTTGGTGAAGAGCTCGTCGGGGGTTTGGTTGTTGAGGGGGTCTTCCTTCCAGCCCTCGAGCATCTTGTCGGAGCAGAAGTCTGTGACGCATTAGCGATGAAGGTCGTTATGCAAAGATGCAAGCACTTACAAGCCAAGTTGGGGTCGTCGTATTGGACGTTCCTGCAGCCAGCGTTGTACAGAACCTGCAGCTCATCCTGGCAAGCCTTGGCGATATCGGCAAAGTACTCGACGTCCGAACTGTACACATCGGCGGGGTAGGCCTTGCCCTCCTTGTACCGCAGGTGGTACCAGTTAGGGGCGGCAAGGGTGATCTTGACGTTCTTGACCTCCTCGGCGGGAACAAGGCTGGCGAGGTATTTGAACTGGTCGACATAGGTGCTACCAACGTGCTTGATCTTGCCGGTGCAGATCACGCTCTCGCCGGGCTTGTGGCCGGCCTCGAGGAAAGCGGCGACATCGGGAGCGTAGTTACGGAAGACATCGGCGTCGACCTCGTTGACCTCTTCGAATCCCTCCAGACCGGGGAAGAAGGAGCCCCAGAACACTACAGACAGTCAATATCGATCTTTGAGAATTGGGAGAAGGCGACGTACTGTGTCTGCGGTATTCCCCATCGGAGACACCAGGGTATCCGAGCTGCTTCTGGGCGTCGACAACCTCCTTGATGTCCTTGTCCTCGATAGCAATAAGCTGCGACTCGGGGATCTTGCCCTGCTCAAAGGCGGTCTTGGTGTTCAAGAGCTCATCAGTCCGGAGCAGCGAGCCAAGGTGCTCAGCACGGAAGGGAGGGTTGCGGTGAAGCGACATGATGATTATTCTATTAAAGAGTCAGTATAAGCGTCGTTCTCGGCCAAATTTCCGGAATTATGGCACACGGAAATGGGGATATACCTGAAGGTCCTTAATTGAGGGTCTCAAGGAGGATCAGAAGGAAAGAAGAGAAAATGTGACAGAAGAAAGTCGACCCAGAGGCAAAGAGGGGCGAGCGTTCATTGTCATTGCCTCCAACACACTCCGTACGTAGTCCTGACTCCCGAGAGGGGCAAAGAAGCTCCGAGGACGGCCGCCCGGAATGCCCCACGAGACTCTCCACATTATTTGGTCGCGGTGAAGCCATACGGACTGCCCCAAAGAGGAAAATTCGAGGTTTGCCGATGGAGAGTTTGCGGGGCTGCTTACTAATATATACATGTAGTTAACTACGTAGTTTCTCTCTAGTATAACATGACTGTTTCTTCTTCTTTTTCTTGGAATTGTATGAATTCTACATAAAGATCCGATTCACAAATCCGAATTCTATTTTCTAAACTTTTCTGGTTCTAATTGACCGAATATGGACCATGTGGAGAGCCTCCATCACATCGGCACTTGAGCCTTTCCTCCCTTCCCGAGGCCGACATCACCACCACTGCCATCACTCCTACGAACGAATCGCTCTACCTAAATCGCTCAATTGACCATTCTTTGCGGGGTTTGACATCCCGTCATGTGAATCACCCACAGCCTGCCAAATGCTGTCACGTCATGTCCCTCCCAGCGCTATCGCCGTTGGAGTCCTTTCCGAATGAGCTCCTCGACTACATCATCTCCTCCGTCGCGGCGTCTCCTCCCTCGTCGGCGCGACTACAACAGCCACCAAGTCATCGAATTGCCAAGAACAGCACTCGCGACTTGAAAAATCTCTCCCTGGTCTCGTCCGGTCTGTGCGCGCTGGTGCGACCTCGGCTCTTCGCGCATGCCTGCTTCAACTTGCGAAATGGGCGCGCGTTTCTGGATTTCGTCGCGCAATCGAGTCTGAAACGCCATGTAACATCGATCGTGGTCAAGGGGAATGACTCGCCGGAGAATCGGGAGGATCCATACTGGTGGCGGCGGGTGTTGTACGAGCTGGATCCGTTACGGATAACGGTGGTTGCGCCGCCGTCGTTTATCGGAGCGATGTTGGGGACGCAAATTCAAGAGGGACATAGCTGGGCATTTGAGATTCCGCTTCAGGTCCTGCATCTCGAGCGGGATGCTCGACAGGAGGGCTCTGTGCGGCTAGAGGAGCATTCGAGCCTTCTGTCAGCCCGAGATTGGCAATCGCTCGAGTTCAACGAGGCCTCTTCTCTCAAAGCATATCACCATTATGAGTACTTTCTGCTCCGCGTCCCATCGGTCTTTGATCAATGGGGTACACTGGCCCATCCCCCGGACCGTCCAGCAGACCTACCCTCAACCCTCTCACTAAACCGCCTAACGACATTCAGCTACACCGCCGTATTCCCCTTCTACAACCACGTGAATCTAGTCCTGGACGCAGTATTCCTAATGACGAGCCTGGAATCACTAACCACCCAACTTGCCCCTTGTCAGAACGATCGCGTCATCGAAATCGAGCAGCGGGGATCAATTGACCCCAGCGATCCGTGGATGGAACTTGCTACGGGGTACGCGCTGATTGCCCATGCTATCAGGCAATTGGGGAATAGGGGTTGTCTTCGACGATTTCGGGCGCGCGATTTTCAGTTCGATGCGCTGCGGCCGGAGTTGTCTTCTATTTTTGATGAGAGATTTCATGACTCCCCGTGGACGTATGATGGGGAGGATGTATGGAATAAAGTAGACGGTTATAGGTCTATTTCTGGCCAGGAACAGACTGGCCGTAGAAGTACTTGATCTATTAATTAATGCTGTATACAATCATGATATCTCTGCACCTGCCTGATTGATTCGTAACAGAACAGCCCCAATAAGCCCCCGTGTCACCTCGTCCCCATAACGAGCTTGAGCCTCAACTAGCCCCAGTTTCCACGACCACCATCTATGAAGATCAAATCCCCGCCTAGGAGGATCATGCAGAGCATAGACTCGATTGTTCCTGCAATTCTCTAACAACGCCTCTACAGCATAAATAAACCAAATACACGCAGTCCGCAGACCTGTTTTATTACATACATAGATACAGACAAGCCACAGTATGGCAGTGCGTTATATTACATTAGTATTAGCCATACAGGTAATGCACAGTAAATTACTATAGTTACATGAACAAAGAACCCATGAGTTGGATGTTCCATTATCCTGGCTGAGCACTCCGTGACAATGGTGGTTTGTTGTGGTTTGTTGTGGTTTGTTGTGTTTTGATACTGCACCCTGATCTTATCACAAGACAAAGAATAGCCCCTGACAGCCAATCATGTAAGAATGTATCCTTCCTTTCCTTGTTTTTGACAGATAGAGTTAGATGGTCATTGTGTTTAGTGGTTTATATATTTGGGTGCACATCGACGTTATTCTTAATGGCATGCGCGGGCCTGCAAATATATATCCCAGGAAATTTCATGTAAGTTGCCCGGGCGGTGACGGTTGGCAGAAAAGTCCGAAACCTCGAAACCCGGTGGGGTCAATACATTATTGTGGCATGAAATTTGAAAGTTGTCAACTGCAAATTAAGTCCTGAAAAAACAGAACCTGTAAAAAATGAAAACCCTTGGTCCTGTAGATCAGAACCATTGGAATCTTGATGGCCCCGCCCCACTTACACTTAGCGGTATCCAAGGATGTTTTATTACTTTTATTATTACAACGTACTCCGACTCGGAGTCTCAGTCCACCAGGTATCTCGCTCGTGGATTTATCTAACTACTCACTTCCCTCCGCACTAGTGCCCAATCTTCCAATTCTTTCACGTTATCTGATCCTCCACCTGGGCATTTCATTGACACCGTGGCCAAGCCGGACAACAACCTGGACCAGCTGCCGATGGAAAAGAGACTGGCGATTGCCAAATACGACGCAGAGGATTGCAAGGATGCAATTCACGGATCTCGAATTCCAAAAACTTTGGGCGAGCAGGTTCATCGACTGTGCACTATTCGCGGCATACGACATCATTATGGCTTTGCCCAGGAGCTCCGTGGAGTCACTCCAGAGTTCACGCGCGCCTTGAATGCCCGGGATATCATGAGCGGTATCATACCAACCATCTCGCAGCCTGAAGAGACACCTTATTGTATCTGGTATCCCGAAGTCCCGAAAGAGGATATTCTCCGAGCTCTGGTTCAACGATACCCGGATATGCTCTATCATGCCGCTCGTGCCTGTGCCGTCGCAGGATATTTTGATATGTATCAAGAGCTCGATCCTCTTCCGGAGGTCCATGTCGCAGAGGAGGCTGGCTATGCAAGCATGCAGAAAAGCAGCAACGGCAGTCAACAAATTTATCAGCACATTCTCTCTCAGCCTGTGAAGTTCGAGATCATGAACGACTATACACGTACGGTCAATATTGCCGGGCGTCGAGTTGCATCTCTGAATGGGGATACTGCTGCTTACTAGAGCCTTACTGCCAGATCGAAGTACTATGGTCCTCGGGAGTTTAAAATCGACGCCAAACCATGGCACAGATTTTGCACAGATCCCTATTACTTCAATATCACCGAAGACTGGGGAATAGATGACCATGACTGCGAGGCCCCTAAGGCACCAGAGGATTATTTCCCACTGGTGTATAGCCCACTCCCTGCAGATCTCCCGTTCATCAACAAGGACAAACTCATTCATGTTGCCGCATACAATGGCGATATCGATCGCTACGCACGACTTCGAAGACCGCAGATGCTCAAACATGAATGGGCCATGGTGATACATGGCATTTACCACAATGCAATTTTTGCCAAATGGTGGACTACACAAATCGCTGAGCACCCGGAAGATAGACGTGAGATCAAGATTCGGTGCGCGATCAATGCCCGGCGCATCATGTCCGACGACCTGTCTTGGCTCACAGCGGATACTCCTGGGAAGCTACTACCAGATTTTATCTGGTATCCAGCTGTCGCTCACTGTGTGACCTATGAAAAGCTAGCCCACATGAGACCAGCTATGTTTGAAACATGTCTACGGGCCTGCATAGTCGCAAACGATCCATGGACGTGGGATGATTTGCTGCGCGCCGCGCCTGACATCTTCAAGTTCACCCGCGACTCCAGCGAGCCCGAAGATCCCAAGCTGTGGTGGCTGTCCAAACATGCTCGCTACGGGCTGTGGAGGGAAGCAGCTGCCTCATCAAACAGAAATTTCCAAAAAGACATCTCAGCAGCTGTGCCTGACGCCGCTCAAAAGTTCAAAACTCCGCACAACAACAGCGACTGGTGGGGGGACTACTACGTTGTGAGGGATCTTTACTTCCCAAATCGGTCCCGGCTTGTCCGGCTCTATGACCCGGTTCAACCGGGATTCAATGAAGGTCCATACGATGGAATGGGTTGCGGAATTGGTGATGTCGATCTTGCTTTGTTTCTCGGCGATGCCATCTCGAGAGAGACTTGGAAGAAAGAAATGGAAGATGAAGGATCATTGCAGGCCTGTATTGAGGAAATTTGGGACTTACTAGAGCTGAATCAAGCTCCTAGGTAGATCGGATTCTGAATCAATCGATAGGTGCTGCAACCTATATCAGATGAAACTTCAACCTTGGAAGTTCAAGCAAGTTGATACCTAAAGTACATGATATATACAAGGCCTTCTATGTAGAATTATCTTCCCTCATGCTGAACAACCTCCTGAAATTTTCAATTTCGCATCTTTCGCTGCGTTGATATTCAACCTGTGGCCACCCTCGTTCGTTGACCAATCGTCAATGAAATCTTTCAATTTCATTGGTTCTCTGCCAGCTTTTGTCTCCTCAGCGTTAACCGCCGTTTTTGCGTCCTGTAGATCGCAAGTGATCCATCCATCGACACCTCCATTAGGAATACCCATTCTCTCCTTGACCAATCCCTCCTTAACCAAGGGGACGTCCTTCTCCACTTCACCTTTCTTAGTCTTTGGTTGCTTCTCCCAAACCTCATTATCGTATTTTTTCCGAATCTCAGTTCCTATATCCCGGACCGCGTTGGCCTGTCGTCCGTACTGGACCCGAGACCGAGCCTATTCAGCTAGATCAAACAATTGTTGGCTCGGCTTGCCATTGTCCTCTTTCAAATAGCCTTTTTGCTCAATGAATCTGTTTCCCGCGGTCAGTATTCTTGACTGTGCCAGTGGCCAAGGCAGAATGCAAAATTACGCGGCAACGTTTCCGATAACCTCATGGGTCCCAGAGGTAGGCCCCAGATTCTCGTAGATGCGGCCGGGTTGGTAATTCCTTCCAACATTAGCCCCGTAGAGCTTAGAAGCAACCTCGTCGAGTGCAGTATTTTCCTTGGCGAGGTCTGCGTCTTTCATCTTGCTCTTGTCCGCGATGGTTGCCTTCTCCTCCTCGCTGGCTGAGATATAATAGAGGAATTGTCTCAGATTGCATCGACCTCCACTGACCGGACCGACCACCTTAGCGGTCTCTGCGTCTCTCGAGCAGGCCTTCGCGATTCTTTGTTTCTTGGACCCGCTGTCCATCTGGTAGGCTTGCCAATACATGAGCCGTTCATAGCAGCCGTATAAACCGAAAGCGGCTGCTTTCGATATACAGAGAGCAAGCAAGAAAAAAAGAGGAAACTTCATTTTGAGGACAAGACTCCCGTAGAGAGACGGGCTGGCAAAATTGTCTCGAGATGCAAAATAAGTAGAACTCCAGCTAAGTCATACCATCGGCGCATTCTTGTAATCCTCATTACCAGAACCTGCTCCATAGCTCCTAAATCGGCTGCCTCGCCAAGTTTGGAACCCTACCCAAACCATGATCGTCCTTCTCGGAAAAATGAGTTCTTGACTGTTGGATCAAAAGTGTGCTAAATTTCTCTAGCGTTGGCTTTTTATGGTACAAGACCAGATTCTGGCCCTGATCTACAGGGACGAGGCTCTGGTTAGCTGTATTTCGTTCATTTATTGGTCCGTCGACTTTTAGTTCAGGGACAGCCCTCGCAAAATCCTTTCTTGTTTGGGTCATAAATTGACCAGCAACAGCATATGTCGGTGATACTCCGTACTCCGTAGTATCTACCCAGTTCTACTAGGGTCTACAGACTGCCAGGCTGGAATGATCTGTATTGCATTTTTATTACCGCATGGGGACTGGCAAGCTTTTCTTCAGACCCCGGGGCCAACCTCAGAATCCTGTACTTCGTATGTATATTTGTAAACGTACTTCATATCGAGAATCATTTGCGCCAAGAAATCCACATACCTCAACGCTTTGCAAGGCTGAGTTGTGTAGTTGCATTCAAGGTGGAGCCGCATTAACACGCTAATGCTAGGTTGTTGCTTCGATGTGCCCAAGTGAAGTGCTAAGTGTTTCATTATCATATCAGCCTCGCACTAGGTTCTCGTCCGAAATTAATGTGTATCAAAAGACGCACGAACATTCGAACTAATAGGCCGACTCGTGGGGCTTCTCAAAAATATACACATACTCCTGATCAGGAACAAGAAGATCCAGCCAACGCCGAGGTGATTTCGAGTGATCCCTTTTTCTTTTCAAGCCCAAAAAGATCTACCTGGTACCTGGTACTGAAGCACATACCAGGGCTGATTCCCTGGGTTTTATCACCAAACAATCAAGATCTTCTTTCATTCTTTCATTTCAAGAGCCGCCTCGAAGGTCACTTTTATATACTCTGGTCACAATCATTCAGCTTTCTTAAGCGTCTCTCTTTTGATATTTCTTATATACCTCCTTGCACTCATTTCTCCCATGTCAAGAACCTCCAATAGTACATACATGTGCTAAGGTATCTTGTGAAAAGTCAAAATGGGCTTGTTGACACACCTAAGTGTCTTAAACCAAGTGGCTTTGTTAGCTGCGGCGGCTTCTTTCCACGTCGTGACAGACCCTTATGTTGCCACACAATGGAATGCCTGTCCTTCGACGTGCGAGAATGCCAATCCAAACGACTGGGACTTCTATTCCGATCTTCACATTCTCAAATCATGTGATGAGCCAATGCTCCTGAACCTAGTAGTGAGCAATCCCACAGGAGACCCCAATATTCGCCAGCCATTGTATGCCTGTTCAACATCCAGCGTGGACAAAATTGGGACTTTGAAAGCCGAAGTCCTCAATACGCCAAGTGCCACGCGTAACTCGACCAAAAATGTCCAGATGGAGACTGCGTGGCGTGGAGAGGAAACGACCCAGTACTCCTCTCATGCAGAGGTCGCAGCGCAACTTGTGCAATCTCATTTGGATGCCCCTACCAGCCAAAATGCCACCATTGCTCTGGGCTACTCGAATGGAGTCGCCTTTGGAGCGTTTATTGGCTCCAAGATGGAGAAGAGCAAGGACAAGAGTGTCCTCCAATCCTTCGTTACAAAGCTTCGTCAAGGAGAATTAAACAAATATGGCATAATGATGCAGGTCTGCAACAGCAACCGTCCCGCGGCTTATAACCTTGGTGTTGTAGCCGAAGCAAGTGCAGACCCTGCTGGAGCTTTGAGCGCTGTGCAAGAAGCACTTGCAACTTGGAACAACGGTCAATGTGCTTCAGGATACAGCGGAAGCTCAAACTCGAAGATCTCAGTGGGCGAGGCCGAAGACGATTTTACTCCTCCGAGCAACGGAACCAGTACACATAGTCATGGAAGCTCGCATGGCAAGAGACACTTCTCTCAGTTGCACCGCCGTGGAACCTGCAGCGCTATTAAGGTTAACGACGGCGACAGCTGCGGTGCTATCGCCACTCGCTGTGGAGTCTCCCCTGCCGACTTCACAAAGTACAACCCGAGCAAAAATCTGTGCTCGGCCTTGCTTGCTGGGCAACACGTATGCTGCTCTGCCGGAACGCTTCCCGACTATTCTCCAAAGCCAAATGCAGCTGGAACCTGTGCGACTTACACAGTCCAAAACAACGATGACTGCAGTAAAATCGCCGCCGCCAAAAGCATTACAACAGACAATATCAAAGATTGGAACGCCAAATCGTGGGACTGGACAGGCTGGTAGTAAGCACCAACAAAACCCATATATAGGCTGTTTGGAACTAAAATAATGATTTTTAAACAGCCAAAATCTGTGTCAGCAAGGGAGATCCGCCAATGCCCTCTGTCTTGAAGACCGCTGTGTGCGGCCCACAAAAGGCTGGGACGAAGAGACCGGATGATTGGGATGATATCGAGAGCCTGAATCCTTGCCCTCTCAATGCCTGCTGCGATATTTGGGGGTGAGTCATCCAAGCCCTATTTTTCCATTCCATTGAATCTAACATTGCTTGATAGCCAATGCGGCACTACTTCAAAATTCTGCACAAAAACCAACGTACGTGCTATTGGGCTAAAAGCCTGGCTTTTTTGTCTGATATTTACAAAACTCAAGCAATAACTGACACTTATTTCGAACAGTCTACCACAGGCGCACCAGGAACGGCGAAAACTGGCACTGATGGATGTATCTCGAACTGTGGCACTGGCATCGTTTTTGACGATAGCGGCTTCGATGACCATCCAGTGATGGTTGGATACTATGAAGCCTTCCAGAATACGCGGCCGTGTTTGAATATGGATGTGACAGCCATCAACAACACGGTTCAGTGGGGTGGCCAAGATGGGGGGTCATTCAATTTTTGATGAAAATTGGGACCATATCCACTTCGCTTTCGCCAACGTCACTGAAAAATTCGAAGTTGATGTCTCGAGTGTCAAAGATGAGTTTGACGACTTCAAGAAGTACTCATCCCCGGGCAAAAAGCCAAAGGTCTTGTCCTTCGGTGGTTGGTCGTTCTCCACGGATTTGGACTCATATGCCATCTTCAGAAAGGGTGTGACAGATGATCAGTGTTCATTATTCGCGTCTAACGTAGCAAAATTCGCCGATGATAATGACCTTGACGGTTTGGACTTTGATTGGGAGTACCCCGGCGCCCCTGATATCCCTGGAATTCCTGCGGGCGATTCAGGTGGCGGTGATCGATACCTTCAATTCTTGAAGGAGGTTCGAGACAAGCTCTCCTCTGACAAAACTCTGTCGATTGCGGCTCCATCATCCTACTGGTATCTCAAGGGCTTCCCTATCAAGAATATCTCGTCGGTCGTGGACTACATCGTGTGCATGACCTATGATCTGCACGGCCAGACAGTACTTGGGCGGATGATGGTTGCGACGGCAGTGCCGGTCTCCGATCTCACGTCAACAACACAGAAATCTTGAATTCCTTGTCAATGATCACCAAGGCCGGAGTCCCCAACAGCAAAATCGTCGCGGGTCTTGCTAGCTACGGCCGGTCGTTTGGAATGGTCGACCCAGCCTGCTTTAGTCCAGAGTGCAAGTTCACGGGCCCTGAGTCTACAGCCATGCCTGGAAGATGCACTGAGACACCTGGCTACATTGCGAATGCAGAAATCCACGAGTGGCTGCAGGGTGATCAGAACATCACTACCTACTTCGATGAAGTTAGCCGATCTACAATCTCATACTCCGCCAATGGAACATGGGTGGCCTATACGGATGAAAATGAGAGAAACAACCGGATCACAAATTGGTGGTACAACAGAACCGTTCTTGGGACCAGTCTCTGGGCGATGGACCTGAATGAGTTTGTGGCCGAACTTCCGGACGGCACCGTGCTGTCACCATTGAAGCTGCCCAACTGCGATCAAGTATTCGACAGCCTGGACAATGTAGAGGCTGCTGCCGATTCAATCAATCCCGAATGTATGAATATTTATCTGATCCAGGCCTTGCAAGGCAATCTCACGTCGTCGCTCACGAAGTATCATGATGTCTTGAAAACCGACTATGATGAGAAGTTTGGCTGGTACCAAGATGCCATCAGAGAGCAGTTCCCTAAATCTCTTGCCGCATTTTTGAAGGCAAACGCCTCCAATTACTTTGATTGCACCTCTCAGCCCTTACACTCACCTGATGGACAGCCAGAAGGCAAGAATGTGAGCTCTGGGTGTCCCTCCAATGCGTTGGACACAGGCTATGCAGTATTCTACTGGACCGCGAAAGACAAAGAGGGATTCTTGAATGACCTCGAAGAGTCAACCAAAATCTCACCTGACCAGCTTCTATGGGAAGTCGATAGATCCCATTGTACGTCGAGTCCGGGCCCTTCACAACCGTCACAATGCAGTGGCAGCAGGAACATCGGCAAACCTGTTCTGCCGGATGATTTCACGGTCAGCAACCCTAAGACTATCATCTCAGCACGACTTCCAGATATCACAACCTTCCAAGATCAGTCAGATACCCTCTCCACACTCGCAACCAGTGATTTGTACCTTGGTGACACAAGCGATGTTGTGGACGGAGCATCGATGCTCGTACTCATGGTATCGAACTCGATTACCAGTATGAAGAGTGTTGAGAAGATCGGGTCGGAATACCACAAAGAGCAGGTTGAGGAGATCATTCTCCTATTCGTCACAGCTCTCCTCCTACTCATTCCTGGCGTGGACGAGGCAGCGGACGAGGCGGGATTGGCCGCCGTCGCGATCACGCTGAGGGCCATTGGTGCCGCCGGTGATGCAGGCTTCGGCATTTATGGTATCGTGAGTGCGAAGGATGGTGGAACTGCTGAAATTTTTCTTGCTATTCTGGGTGGACTTGGTGTTCTCGACATGGTTAGAGCTCCTGCGCTTTTCGCGAAGGCGGCAAAGGCGAGAAGGGCAATGTCTTCCGAGCATATCGCAACATTGGGAGACGAGGTCAAGGGCGGAATGGCCCAGATTGATAAATTGAAGCAACTCTGCCGTTAGGTGGACGGATTGGTAACTGTAAGCTATCGGTCCTCTTGCTTCCAGAAACATCTCGCCATCAACATGTATCTAGTTCGTTTTTAGATTGATGTACTTGTTCTACTTGAAAGTTCTTGTCACAAATAACAGAATGCATCTCATCATAGAGGTTATGGACCCGTTAGAAGGCATCGAGTTAAGTGTCGCGCGTTCCCGTATCCCTGGTTGGAGTAGTTAGGTAAGGATAGCCTAGAGCTCGAGTGGTTTTAAAAAAGAATTTCACGAAGACTAGCAATGACATCCGCTCCTGAGCTGAGGAAGTTGATAGTTAAGCATTGAAGGTTGACAAAGGAAGGAGTAACAGATATCATGCATGGAGCTACGGAAGTCTTGTTTAACCGCTATCCTCCACCAGTCTTTCAGGCCTGATCACTGCCAGATTTCCTAGGCAGCAAAGCCTCAGTAGTTAACGTAATCCACAAGCGAGCCCACCGCGAAACGCGTCAAATAATACATCTAACAAACCAGAAAATTCAAAGGGAGACTGAATCATCAAGAAATGAACGTCGACTAGTTATACAACCACAATATGATGCCTCAGGCGCGCAAACGGGATACACTAACTACAACTTCTCATGTAAACTGGTAAACTGGTTAACCGTCTGACATTCACATGTTAGAACCTACCATAACCTCTTCCACCATTGCTTAAACAGGTTTGCCTTTGAACCAAAATATGTCCTTATACGCCACAGACCCGGCACCTCCAGTCCTCGCACACACTTTGCTCTCCCAACCCGTCCAGAATGCCAGAGACCCAAACGTCCCGACTGAGAGAGATTGTAACTTGGGAGCAGCTATTGGAAATGGGATCCAATGCTCATCTGATACATTATTCCGCCCTGGGATTGTCATTGGTTTCTCGAGACCTAGAAAGAGAGGTACAGATAACGATGATGATCATGAATATATAGGACGGGTAAGACGATTCGATTCATCACCGGAAATATACAAGAAAGCAACTCGAATACTAACATATTCCAGATCCCCCGACACATCCTCACAACTCATCTCCTCAAACGCCCATCCCCAGCACCAGACTCATTCAACACATTCATAATCCACCCCTTCAACCTCCCCATCTTCTTCCCCCAAACCCTCCTCACCTCTCTTCTCTCTTCGAAAAACCCCAACCTATCCCGCGAAGAAGCAATAAGCCGCTTAGACACCGTCCAACTCCTCCCCGTCTACGACTTCCCAGCAGCCATGCAAGCCATCACCCAAGTCTCAGATACGCTACACAAAATCAACCAACAACGCCAGAACCAACAAGCTAATAACAGTAACCAAGAACCGGTGGTGTTGATCATCGCCGGACTGGACACCCTCGTCGAGAGCGTCATCCGCGCGTCGAACCCGATCAAAGGAACGGCGGTGTTGAATGCTGCGTCGCGGACGTTTACGCGGTTGTCGAGGGAGTATGCGGCGTTTCTTTCTGTTTTGCTAGTTAATACTACTGGACTTGGACCTGGGACTGGGACAGGGGATGTTGTGGCTGATGGGGATTATCAAGGAGAGCAGTTGTCGGTGCTGTTGCCGAGCTTGCTTATGAAAACGTTGGATCAGGGGACTGATACGCATTTACTGGTATCGAGGGAGAGGGGGAGAGCTAAGGGAGTTGGTGTTGAGGTGATTAAGGATCGGGTGGGTGATTGGTTAGGAAGGAGGTGTGTTTGGGACGGATTGTGAGGATTTATATCGAATGAATATATGAGAGTACAAATCTCTTCCTATTGCCTAGATGCGCCATATCCGTCTATCAAGATGCAATAAATGCCAACTCCAAATCTGCAGTCCACCTTATAATTTCTATGTTTAGGAAAGGGGGTATCAATCATGCCAGGTTTTCTGCAACCAGGAACAAGGATTAGATGAATATAAGATGCTAAGCCCCGCCAACATGAGCGTTCTCTATTTCCGCCCACATTCTCAAAACAGCCCTTTCCACCACGATCTGGGCCTCATCTTCGCATTTCCGAATGTCCTCTTGAGCTGTGTTCTGCTCGAACAGGATATCTTCTTGATGTACTTTGACCCACTGTTTGTGTCTTTCGCACCGTTTCTTGGTACAGACACCGCGGGCTAAGGCTTCGATACCATTATCGTCCTCGTTGTCGCTACCTTCCTTGTTGTTACCCTCGTCCATGGCAGTATCGCCATCGGCATCGGTAGGAGGATCGAGTGTACCATCCTTCATCGCCTTCTCGCCAACAGGCGTCTGTCTCCATTCATCGAATTCCTCGTCGGCCCATGCTACCCGCGAGTCGTACCCACAGATATCCTTCCATCCACCCTTGGGATCTGTCTGCTTTAACCGTTCCACAATAGTCTTGGATCGTTGGCGGACGAGGTTTATAAAGGTATCGCGTGATGTCAGCAGTTCCTGGCGGTGGAGGATCTCGTCGCGGCGCTTGCGGAGTTTCTCGAGTTTGGCTGCTTCGTCTGGGGTGTATGTGAGGCCCTTGGCGTCGACGTCTAGGCCGAGTTTCTTTTCCTTCTTTGGTTGGTCCTGTGTCTCGAGGTTCTTCTTGTCGTCCTCTTCTTCTGGTGGTGGTGTGACGATGCGTTCGCCTAGTCTGCGGAACTCTATTGCAGATGAAGCGTCCGTTATAGCGGCTTTGAGTTCACTGGCAGTGAGAACGCCGCCTCTGCTGCCGATATCATCTCGGGCCTTGGGGTCCTGATCTCCATTTGCAATTCCTGCTCCCGGGCCCAGGAAATGCTGTGTTTTCAGACGCATGAATTCCCGACCATGATCGTCTGAGCAGTATTTACTTGGTCCTTTCTGGTTGACACGTGCCGGCTTCCGACACTCTGGCAAACGGCACATTGGCTTCCAAGAGGTGCGGCCTTTGCCTTTCTCATGACAATTCGGGCAGATATACTTGTCAATCAAGTCCGCATCTCTCCGATCAATGTTGACACATTTCCCGTGAAACCAGTCGTCACATTCCCCATCACAACCAATCATCCAAGTATGATTATCCCCTCTGCGACAGATGCAAAAGACCCCGTCATCGTCGTCATCATCGTCACCATCCCCGTTTTTAGCAGCCTTTTTAGACTTCTTCGGTTTACGTTGGGGCACCGGTACTGGTGCTGGCGATCCCGCTGCAGACGCTGAGCCTTGTTTCTTTACAGCGGGTGTCTTGCTGGCACGGGTTGATGAGGGTGTGTTGGAACGTCGCGAGTCGACACTTTCAGTGTCTTGGTCATTGACCTTGCGCTTTTTGGCTGTTGACTTTTTGGCCGTTCCCTTTTTGCCACCACCTGTGGATTTTCTTCCCGTTGCTGCGCCTTTTGTAGAGTTTGCAGGGGAAGATCGTTCTGATGATGATGCTCTGGAGGTCAAGCCGTGCTTGAGGTTAGCGATTTTCTTTGGCGTGGGATGTTCGTTCGGTAGATCTGCGCCATCGAGTTGACCCAAAGCAGGCTTGGCATCCGCGTCTTCGCTAGCGGGTAGTTTCTCCAAGTTCATCGCATCGGGCTCGGTTTTTACTTGCGGCTCTGTAGCATCTTGCGGCGCTGTTGCCTCACTCTTTACTGATGTTTCTGAGACACCGTCATAAAGATCGGCCCATGCCATTGCCCCATCAGCATCATCCCCATCCCCACTAAGGTATGAGATCTCCGGAACCCTGAAAACTTTATGCACTCTGGCGGCACGGTCGAGACCAAACAAACCGCATTGTCGCCAGCCAAGAACTCCCACCACCTGATCGTCTTTGACGATGATATTGGATCTGACTAGGTCATTGTGAGTCAAATATAAAGTATCCTGCTCTGCTTTTTCCTTGAACAATATTTTCTTCTCTTGTTCGGAGACATCAGGCGGGAGATGTGAATTGAGTCCGCTACAGACGTAAGACGGTCCATCTGAAGCGCTGTCGACGGCGGCCAGTCGTTGTATGATACGGCGGCACTGCTGTTTAAGCTTATCGATCTGCTCGCGCGCAAGATACCTCCATGCAACTTCCAAAGAAACCCCGGGTACGCGCGACTCGACCGTGACATTCTTCCCATCAACAACCCCACAGAAGTATATCACCGGCACAGCAATCCCGATCTCCTTAAGCGCATCCTCCGCTTTCCTTGCCGACGAAATCTCGTTGGCGTTGACGTAGGAGTATCTCTCCGCGGATGAATCGTCCACACCTTCCTCATCGACCCGAATGACCACGCTACCACTAGCGAAAGCATCTTGAGTCCTGGGGTCGTTCAAGGAGTTTTCCTGAACACAAGTGTTTCTGACAACCTTCTCCCAGTAAGAATTCACTTCCGGTTCCGACAGATACCAGCGATCATAGCGGGGTTTGAAATCGTCATCGCGAGGGGCATAGCGGCCGTATTGCGGACTTCGGGAGATATAAGGGTCGTCTTTAGGTATCCGTGTCGCATGTGTCTCGTAAGGGTTTGAGTCGGCAACCATATTGCCGTCAATTCAAGAATTTCCTTCTTTGCAATTGTGGTCGTATATCCAAGGTCTTCCGTCTATTATATACCTGTAAAGAGTCCAGAATCAAGGCCAGTTCGCGATTGCTTGTGAATTCGTATAGCCGCAGGGTGAGGTTTCGGTGGTTATCTCGAGCGGAATAAAGCAAACATCATGAATAAGAACCCTAGACCCTGCAGTAACGATAGCGGTAGCAACTTGTGCAACTCCCAAACACCAGCACCGGCCAGCTCCTTGATTCAAGTTGCGCTTTGATCGGGGACGGCAAGCGGAGTTCGGAGGTGGATGCGATACTGATCACTTGGCCTGTGTTGCACAAAAACGAATCGCAAGAGATTGCTGGGTGAGATGTTAATTTCAGGGCACCGGACGAGGTATTCCGCGCTTTGAAAGAGAAAAAAACGTATCAATAATCGCAGGCGCAGCTGGTCGGTTGGCGAAAGTCGCCGTCTGTCCTCCGATGCGCTCAAGGATTTTGACCGGACATAATGCTAGGCGGTGAGGCTTATCTCCGCCCTGGTCTCGTGACGCTTTCCCTTTTGGGACGACCCTCAATACTTCAGTCTTCTTTTTATGTTTATACCTGTATTTCTACAACGCATTCAGTTTGAGAACATGAGCAGTCATTGATTTCCCCACAAATCTAGATTTGGTCATGTTGCCCCTGAATGCCCTGCCAACAATCACCTAGTCATCGAGGTCATTAGGTACCGTCATCCACCCTGATGCTTCAGGATCAAAGGCCTCTGGATAATCATCATCTGGAACATGTCTTTTGAGCGAATACGAAATTCCGAATGATGAATCTCTTTCCATTCCATTTCCGCCAGACCGGATATATTCTCTTCAGCAGATTCTCCCAATTGAAACCTGCATTTACCACCGTCGATCCGGCTAATTTGAGTTTGTCGCCCAAGCTTACTGGTACTAGAGCACTGGAATCTTTGTTATAAGGGTAGATTGCTGACCTACAGCGCTCTTTCTTCCCTCCATCTCTGCGGAATCCTTTCCAGTCTTTCAGAATGAACCATCAAGGCCCCCACAGCCACTTCGTATGCCGTTGAGTTCTGAGATGCAAATTTGCAGCATATTCCGTTCATCCGATGCTAAGCATCTATTTCGCTAGACTCTGTATTGCCCATGACGGGGGCTGCCGAGGATGCTGCCACAACCTGCCACTTTTAATTGAATGGCCCAGGCCAGACCAGGAGAGAGGAAGTAGACTTACAATGTCTGATTTACACCCTAAACACGACCGCCAATCCTCCCAGAAACAGAAAGCATCCCCATCCAAATGTCCCAAAATTGGCACGAATATGTCGGTGATGTTCTAGAGAAACCCAAACCCTGTCTCCAGGGAGTCCAGCTGCTGCGAATCTGTATAGACTGCTTTCCCATTGGCCTCAGCCTCTTGCCGCAAGACTGTAGCAAGATTTGCCTTGTTACATCCGTTATGCGGCGTTCCAAAGAAAACAAGGCCCGATGTCTGTCACGGGCTCAGACTAGTAGATATTGATGAAATGATCTCTCCATCTGCGCGGAATTGCACTGGTGGCTTCTCCAGTATACTGCAACAAAATTGCGACAACCCACTCATATCCTGGAAATGTTCGAGCAGCAAACTTGCAAGTATATTCATAGTCTTCTCTTATTTAAGTGCAATTGGTATTGTGAGATTTCGGGACTGTTGCCATAACCTGATTGTCCGTCAGTCCTACTCCTGCAGACTAAATAGAGAGAAGGAAAATCAAATAGTTACCTCCTCCCAGCTAATACCAACCTTCCACTTGAATATCCGTGGCTTGACAAACGGATATAAGCGCCCCATTATTGACTGATATCTGTCGGTGATATCCTGGAGAAACCCCGATTCGGCTTTTAGCAGCCGTGACCGTGATCCTGTGTCGCTTTCTTCTCCTTGTTCTTCTTCATCTCCTTCGTCTACAGCGGTAGCTCCTTGTGTGTTTGTTGCTCCAAAATAGAAGAGACCGAATGTCGAGACAGCTATCGAATACAGACTATGCTCTGTCTTCAGCATCCTGCAGCACTCGAGGATCTGTTGGTAATCAGCAAAAGACAAACAGTCTAACTGTAAATAACGATTTCCCTACTATCTTCACAATAATGTGCGCTTTCTGAGAATGGAAGAGGAAGATAATAAGTCTCTCCGTAATGTCTTCCCTCTGTAGATAAATTGGTTAGGACCTGCTGTCATGTTAGCTATCGAGATAGGAGTTTGTGATTCTTACCTGACGACTAGCAGCTAACTTCTGTAGCAAAGCCTTTGCATGGTGCAGTTCGATATTCGCAGTGACAGATGTAGGATAGTTGAATGTGAGGACACGGTAATCTGGGATGTCGCTAGGAAGCATATCCTCATCACCAAGCCAGAATTTCCCATTCTTGCTAGTGATAAATGATTTGGATACATCTCCCGACAGGCCGTGTACGGCTATAATACTGGAAATAATTAGCAGCAGTTAGAAGCGAGTATTGATCATTTTGGGGACGTACTCGACGATGGGATCCTCACCGCTGTAGACGGTGGTTAGGGTCGGTCGTTCTTTGTCTTGATGTCCTAGTGGATACATCCCGGCTATGGCTCAACAAACTGCTCAACAGATGCAGAAGAAAAATAATGGGACGGACTGTCCGAATGGAGGTTGTGCTTTGTCAATAAGCGTTACAAGCTCAGCCCATGATCTAATCTACTAACCCAAAATGTTTTTAGAGGGAGGGAAAATGCACATCTAGACGCTAGGCTTCTCTAATCCCTATCAGTTACCGCTAGATATCTACGAATGATATTTCACAGGACCAACATTCTCACATATAATATCAGGGCGCTTCAATTGATTGTCTCGCAAGCTATCTAGTACCACTGCCGTTAGGACGCAAACAACTGCCATCCACAAATTAGACACGGAATATGAAATTCGAGATTCCTTGCCATGACTTACTATGATCATCCTAAGCACCAATTGCTTATACCTGCCAGTTAGCTGAGCCTGATGGACGCGCTTCAATTCTATTCCCTTGCATTTCTGCATCTGGCAACTTGCGTATCATATCACAAGATCTTCAAGTCAAAATAGCACACATAGCTGCAATTATGTGGCACTGCCTGTTTTACCTAGGTAGTTACATGAACCCCGCTATAATAGCTATAGTCGTTCAGCATCACAGGACATTCAATTCATTACGTTACGACCAAAACATAACGAGTGCATCTCTACCCAGGGCCACTCCCATGTCAGAGTAAGCTTGACCCGGTATCTAATTTTGGGGGGCTATACGTAATACTCATCCAAGCGACTCCCAGTGCTCTGCTCTATGGATCCGGAGCCAGTCATAAGCGTATGAATAATCTCGGTTCCAGTCTATTTGTACGTGCTACCGTCATACGTACTCAATGCAGAAGTGCATGAGCTCCGAGAAGGATTACAATATCAGCACCATACAGGCACTTGATTATTGTTGGGAGGTATTATGGAGCCCGTGAAGCATGTCATTTAGATATGTCTCCAGTTCCATGAACTCCTCGATTCAGAGCCATGTCGATTAACCATGATATAAAACTGGATAGAGTAACACGCTGCAATGTCTTTCTCTTGGATATGGTATAGATGAATGCACTGGTTTCTAATCATACCGTCGCAGATATGCTAATTATTATGTTACAACCAAGGGAGAAATCTTTTCGTCTTGCCAATAGACCATATGCCGCTAGGGCTAACGCAAGCGTCTGGGAAGGTGTTTGTGAATCTTGATACAAATATCTCTAAGTTTCGTATGGTATCTTCCAATTCATGTAACTAATTAAAATAGTCCTCTGACCTTTCTTCTATTGCTTTGCCCTTGGGAAGAATGCTGGTGCGAGTTGATTCTGCCTCTCGTACGTCCGTTCCAGTTTCAATATGGCCCTTGCCTGCGCCCATTTCGGTGGAATTGCTTGAGGCGCTTGTTTAAAGTAACGTCTCAGGATTACTGACACCTTCTTATATTCGGCCAGTTCTCGAGATGGAAACTGGCACGAGCCAATATGATTTCTTACGACCTAACACAATTATTAGTCGATGGCACATGTCAGAGGAAAAAAGAAAGAAACTCACATCATCCATATTGTGGTCTTCTATTTCTGAGAGTGAAATCTCCCAGAGAGAGGATATACGATAACGGTCCATGATTGGCTCGAACCCATTATCAACGTTCCTTAATAGACCAGAATTAAGTAACTGTGCACCAACTCCCTCATGCTGCAAGACCGCAGCAAGGTTACCAAAGCTTGTTTCCTTATTTGGCATCCCAATAAAAAGGAGGCTATGTGTCGAAACATATATTGAATGGGAAGCCTCTAATTCTTTATTTCCACAATCTTTAGAGTGGATTAGTGCCTATCATAAACCATCAGTAAATCGCTTTCAAATATACATTAGGAATACACATACCTGCTTGGCAATAATCCCTCCCACCGAATGACAAATGAACATTATTGGTCTCTCGATATTACCCTCCAACTGCAGACATTGCATTAGTTAAGAGTGGGCTCTCTTTGAACAGGACATTTTGCCTTACACGGCGATTATGGACCAGGCTTTCCACCAACTGCATTGCAGATGCCATGATGCTGTCTGAACCAGAATAACTAAATGCGAGGACGCGGCAATTTGGAATATCTCTTGGGAGCATATCCTCATCACCAAGCCAGAACTTCCCAGTTGCAGTGGACATAAACAATTTGATAGGGTTTCTATTCGGGCTGTGTATTGCTACAATACTATAAGGAATTAGCATCGTTGACAAAGGCATTGACAAGTGTACAACTCACTCAACAACAGGATCCTGACCGCTATAGACGTTGGTAAGGCCTGGCCTGAGTTTCTCCATTGTGTGCTGCTGCTCCATGTCTAGGAAATTTTGCTTGGAACGCCTAAGTCGCGAAAAGGTAAACGGTAAACACATTTTGTGCATTTTATAAGAGAGGGTCAGCTTAAGACAGGTTATAGCTGGGGTTGCAAATCATTTAATCTATATGGGTCAGGGATAACAGGATGCTTCGATTCTTGTGAGGTTGTTGTAGGGTAAAAGGAAGAGGGACAGAAAAACATTTATAGTAGACGCCAGCCACTTTCGTGACCAAAGCGCCCATGGTTAATGTTCCACGATGCAAGCAACCTGATTCGGTGATATGTGTGCGCCCATGTTGATTACATCCATCATGTACGCGACTGGTAAGAGTAACAAACAAGAAGAATCCGCAATTTAAGAGCGGGACAAGGACATCAGAAGTATTTATCATAACCTCCGTACCCAATAATTACTCGTACATATCTCTTAAAAGCCTAATTGGAGATCTACTTCCAAGTTTCATTTCTGTTGTAGAAGTAGCCGGGGCGGCAGTCTACAGAGATAGCAAAGCTGTCTTGCTTGAACACCAAAGAAATGATCAATTAATGGAAAATATCGGTCCCGAATAGTCTGAGTGGACGGAAATACGTTACGATCATGGCTATTTCTGGATGTAATACCCCTTCACATAATAGCAGTCCTTTGGGGCCCTCACTGTTCCATGAGCTGTCTGACCCTTTCCATGATACCGCTTGCTTCGGAGGATAAGTCGCATTATATAAAAGATAAGCACAAATTTCAATAGCTTATTGAATAAAAGGTGTCTTCCTTTCTGGCCCCGAATTCATTCCAAAATGAAGTTTGCCACCATGGACCATATCTTGTTATTGACCATCTGCATGAGATTGCAGAGAATGCTTCGTCAGTATACTGTTTGCAAGGTCTACACAGCCTTCTTATACCCTGATAAGGTTCAAGAGGCAAATTCGCATTTATCTTGGTGCTCTTCTCTAATTTCGGCGTATTCAAGAACCTGTGCCACAACCAGACACTATTATCAGCCCCGTTTTTCAGGAGACAAAAGGCCGATAGACACTCACGTCCTCTAATTTGAATCCCAGACTCAAGTATGACATTTCCGAGGCAATGCAATCGCAGAAGCGCTGAAAGATGTTGAGGACGATTTGGAGCAACTTCGATCCTGCTTGTAGTAAACCTCCAGAGGCCAAATGTCGAAACATGAATCGAGGAAGTGAGTGGTTTCTTTCTTTTTCCATCGTCATAATTCTCGGAGTATGCGAGTGCCTGTCATAGACCGTCAGTAAGCAGGTAGTCATTCAGTAAAGATCAATGCACATACATCCCGGACAAGGGTTCCTCCTTCTGAGTGGCAAAGGAAGATAATTGGTCTCTCCTTAGCGCTCTCCTATTGCAGGTATTGGCATAGGCTAGGGCTCTATCGTAGGGGTTAGATTCTCACACCGCGATCAGCAGCTAGTTCCTCTGCCAGCTCTATGGCAGGATCTGAACCATGAGGCGTAGAATAGTTAAACGCGAGGATGCGGCAACTCGGGATACCTTTTGGAAGCATATCTTTGTCTCCAAGCCAGAATGTTCCATTTTTGGATGTGAAAGATTCAAATACATCTTCGTCGGGGCCGTGAACTGCTATAATACTGGAGAAAGTTAGCAACAACAGCAAGCTAATGAGGACATCAATTGCAATTCAACCTACTCGACAGTGTAAATGGTCGACAGGCCCGGCTGTACCAGCATCTCGTTCGAATTGAAGGAGGATAGTCACAAGGTAAGCTTAGTAGCAAGTCACGGGTGGGGATACTATCGCAGGTTTCAATGAGGATAAGAAAATGGGAATAGATTCAAATATTGTGAAGGATGTTCGGACTTTATATAGCGACAGAGAATCATTTTTTCATGTCAAGGTCTTTCCTTCATTCTTGCCAGCGACTACCGGGCGCTTATGAATGGATTTATAGCAAGCATTCCCATGTACTCGTTTAATGTATTTTATTGATTGCCTCCGTCGAGTACACAGCGTTAAGTGTCACAAACAACGGAAACCCGCGAATCAGGTACAGAATCCGGGAACTAACAGACTTTACCATGGCTATCGTAAGCATTATTGTCTTCATAATTGTGAACCTCATCATTGTCGAATTGGCGGCACATTCATGTAAATAATCGCCGCAACCTTACAACATGGGAGCGTTTTCGGAAGAGCTTGCCCGACAATCTACACATCACGTAACAAGAGTCGATTTGGGTCAGTTGAGTCTGCTGGCTGTGCTTCCTTGCATGTTTTTCTACTTAGACTGCAGGAATTGCCCCACTGCAATTTGTCAGAGCGGAAGCCGACTTGAGCAATCTCCTTTCTCGCTTAGAGATTCATTGTGGAACATGCATCTCCGAATATGGCGACAATTTGAACCGAATCAGAGGATCATTTCTTAACGGCGACTTCCCAAAGCACATATGGAGATCGCAGCTGGACGCGGAGTTGATTAACCCGGTTGTGAAAACGTTGACTGCTGCTGTACTTCGCAATTTGGCTGGGTGGTCATCTGGCAGAGCGTTTTATTTTATTTATTTATTTATTTTTTTTTTTTGAGTGTCTTCGGCCCTTGGAGATGTCTGATATACGTGAGGATGCACCTTTTAGGAATCGGTGGTATGTGACGTTCATGCGAAAAGCAAAATGGAAGGTCCCGAGCGATATAGAGGCATTGTTCATAGACTTTATAGGAGGAGGAAAAATCACCAGAGGAATCCGATCTCGATAAGGTTGTCAACCTGGACATCAAGACCTGCGGGAAGCCCTATTTTGTTTCCACACATATCTCCCATGCCCACCTGCTGCAGTGAAACGCGGCAACCATTCTAGGTTGAATAAAAATGTTTTAAATGCTCATCGTACCCCACGAAAACATCTCCTGCTTCGCCCACATATTTCTTGTACAAAGACATTAACTATGTCTTTCAGAACATCCCATCTTGTCTGCGGCTCAAGATTCACAAAGCACCGATTCAATCCCTCATCATCCGTCAAATTGACTCATCCCATGCCAAGCCTCTATCCCAACCCCAGCAAACTCGATGCCAACGCTATGCTTCTCCATCCCGACGAAGGCCATCTCTTCGTCCATCGCAATGGTGAACATCATGTTCTGCAGATTAGGCATTCGTAGTACAGCGGCGACAAGCGCCTTCATTAGCGGGTTGAACAGCTGCACGTCTGGCTTCGTCCTCCAAATGTGCTTCGGGATTTTTACCGTCGCGAAATTCGTCTTTGAAACTACCCCAACTGTCGCCGGACTCGGAGTGAAGCGATACGTCGGAATCACTATCTTCCTGGTATTCGTGTGTCACTCGAGTCCTTGGAATTTGGATACTCAGCCTGCACTGTGCTAGGATCGCCAGTGTAGTACCATCTTCCATCATAAGTAAGCATGGAGCATTCAATCTCAACTTCCCTTAGATGGGGGAACTCAATTTCTCCTTCAAATAATGCTGGAGAGAGTAGCCACTGTCCCTCGAGTCTAAGTTTTATCAAAGGGGTCCGTCCGTTCTGCTAGCTTTCGGAGTGCCACGTTCAGAATATCGCCATTGGGATAAGTGGGATCATGGTGCTGGTTTCTTCTAAAGCTATGATTCCGTGGGATTATTTGATCAATGTATATGTCCAGAGACCTGAGATTTAGCAGAGGTTGTGTGAGAATAGCAGAGAGAGCTGCATTCATCAGATAAGCAACTTATTATCGGAAATTCTGCTAGAGGAAGGAGACCTACCCAGCCAGTGTTTTATTTGTAATTCCACTCGCTTAGGCCTAGGTATATTCAGTTCCAGATGCAAAGTTTCCCAAATTGGGGAGCAATGAGACAAGTTTCTCAATGGCTGCTGGATGGAACTGGCGCCGTGGATTGGGGATCTTCAGCGACACAATAGAAATGGGCTGAGGATACCTAGCGACACAACAGACGGCAGCTGAGGCAGGGAGATTTCTTTGATGTTTAGATACGCATGTTCTTTCCAGGGTTCCGGTCCTTGCGACAACCTTGGTCCGTCTGATCTGTCCATCGGAGACGAAGCAAGAAAGCCCAAACCCAGAACATCCAAATCCCACATTTCCAGGGTCCTGAAAAGATTCACAATACCTTCCTGAAAAACCGCGTTGTCTCCGCTCTCTTCTGACAGCTGGCAATCGCGATCAGTCGGTGGGGACAGGTCGACCTCATAATCGAGTCACATCAACAACCTCTGGCGCCGTGTTGCCGTTCCGAAGACCCGTTGAAAGGCGGATATATCGGGACTCAAAACATTTGAGGTTTGAAAAGATCCAACGTTTGACGGCGTACTGCCATTGGCGTGATATGGTCGCGTATGGGGCAACCTTCCCCTCCTTCCAACAATCGCCTGCATGGGGATTTCGGAATGGAGTAACCGTGAATGAATACGGGTACGATCAAGGCCGGAATATCTTGACTGAGAGGTTCCATGGCTTCACGATGATTGTGTTGTTGACAAAACTTAGGGGCATTGAAGTGGTTTAAAGACTGTTCCCTATTCCCAGCAAACGCGGGTCTTGGCATTCTACGTACATGTCTTACAATGCAGAGCTATAGGGGGCCGTATATGGGGCAATCTCTAGTTGGATACATGCTAGCATAGTTTTTATGTTTTGGAGAGATCATGAAAGATCATGCAATGAACAGATATATACTGCCTTCTCCCCGCACTATATATACACATAACTACGGATCTCCCCTCCCCGCAACTACCGTACCGATTGGCTGCAATACGGAACATATCAGGACATGAAAGCTCATTATTGGCTTCTCGGGTCCCATTTATCAAAGTAACAACCAGCCGATCCGACAAGCCGACGTTGTTGTTCAGGAGGGGAACAGATGCCTGATAAATACCTTGTGGAACACCATCTGCCACCTCATAAATCGATCGATTCTACTACATTCCCGCTTTCTCTAGACAACCAACAACACCATGACTATCACCGACTGGCAGCAAAAGGTCCAAGTTAAGCAAGCTAAAGCAGCTTCCAAGATCCCCGCAGAATGGAAATTGTCCGCCAACATTCTGCAACAAGCATCGGGAAGCAAGCAGAGTATCATCGATGTTCCTAGAACATGTGGTCTGCTCACGGAGCAAGAATTTCATATCACTGAGGATTACGATGCCACCGCTCTACTAACAGAGCTGACTACTGGGAAAATCACTTCGGTAGAAGTTACCCGGGCATTCTGCAAGCGCGCCGCGATAGCCCAGCAACTCACGTCCTGCTTGACGGAGACGTTCTTCGATGTCGCGCTGGCTCGCGCCAAACAACTCGATGACCATTTGGCCACTACCGGCAAGCCCATGGGTCCTCTACATGGCCTTCCTATCAGCATCAAGGAGCCATTTAATGTCGTCGACATACCTACCTCCCTCGGCTTCGTCTCCTTCCTGGATAACCCGCCTCCACGCAGCAATTCGGCCATGGTAGAAATACTGCTGGCCGCGGGTGCCGTGCTTTATGTCAAAACAAACGTTCCCCAGACCATGATGACAGCCGATTCGGAAAACAACGTTTTCGGACGCGTCTTAAACCCGCACCGACTCTCTCTCACTGCTGGCGGGAGTAGCGGGGGCGAGGGTGCCCTGGTAGCCATGCGCGGGTCTATTCTGGGAATAGGCACTGATGTTGGAGGATCAATTCGGATCCCCTCGCTGTGCTGTGGTACCTTCGGCTTCAAGCCTTCTGCTGGTCGGGTGCCGTACGGTGGTCAAACTAGTCCCGGGCGTGATGGATTGACAGGCATCGAGGCAGTCGCGGGGCCGCTGTGCCATTCTATCCGCGATGCAGAGTTACTTCTCCGGACAGTGTTCGACACTCATGCTGACGACTTCGATGATACGGCTCTTGGTGTGCCCTGGATCGAGCCAGTGAGTACTTCATCCACTCTCACCATCGGACTTCTCCCCGAAGACCCTCAGGCTCCTCTCCATCCACCCATGGAGCGTACGCTGGAAATAGCGCTGCAGAAGCTAGCAGCAGCCGGTCATCGCATTGTCAATCTCTCCGGAAAAGTGCCACCTCTGTCAGCCGTCAAAGATCTCTCATTACGCTACTTCCGTTTGGACCCGGATAACACGCCGTTGAAGCATATTGCCAACGGACAAGAACCCAAGATCGCCTCACTAGGGACTACCTATAAATCTGAAGGCAGCGACCCCGAACCGACATTGCGTGATTTGTATGACCTTAATGTGGCTCGGAGTAAGATCGTGGAGCAGATGCGTCGGGTGTTCCTGGATAATCAGTTGGATACGATCATTGGGCCTGGTTATCAGACTTGTGCGGTGCCACATGACACGTATGGGTTCCCGGTATATACGGTGCTCGCTAATGTGCTTGATGTATGTTGTTTTCTCTTCCTATATTTTTCTTTTGCGAATCATACTGACATTAGTAGTACCCTGCTTGTATCATTCCGTTTGGCAAGGCGAATGAGGCTGCGGATGCTGAGTTTGCCAGAGATGTCACCTATGTTCCTCCTTGTAAGTCACCATGATCCCTATGGATTTTTGAAACCTTCCCTGACTCAAAAAGATCTACCAAAGGAGATTGAGAATGCCCCCTGCCATGTGCAGCTCATCGGCCGCCGATTGAAGGATGAGAAACTGGTGCGACTTGCGGAGGTGGTACAGGGCGTGCTGGCCAAGGATTCTAATTAGGCTAATGTGTATAGCCCTGGGCATTGATATATCTGCAGTCTTATGAAATTTATCCAATGGCTAGAGTCAGCTATGAATATTTTGTCGACTTTATATAGGGCAGAATAGCACTGACGTCACCGCCACAACCCCTCCACAAACATTATCGCAAATCTCCAAACACAACACCACCAATATCAACCCCAACCACCAATTCTCCTTTGCACAAACATAATAGCACAATGTCAACACCACTAACATCCCACCTCCAAACCCTCTACCACTCCCTCTTCCACTCCGCCACAAGACACCCCTTCCTCCGCGCCGCCGGAACCGGGACCCTCCCACCCCACATCCTCTCATCCTGGCTCTCCCAAGACCGTCTCTACGCGCAATCCTATATCCGTTTCATCGGCTCCCTCCTTTCGAAACTCCGATTGCCCTCTCACAACCCCGATCCTGCGAAGTCATCGCATGCGACAGCAGAAGGGCGCGCAGTGGACATACTAATCGACGCGCTTGTGAATATCCGCAGGGAATTGAAGTTCTTCGGGGATGTCGCGGCGGATTATAAATTCGATCTTGAGGCATTGCCGGTAGATGTTGAGGCGGAGGATGTTGGCGTGAAGGTGTTTGGGCCGAATCCCATAACGCATGCGTATATCGATCTGTTCATGTCGGCTTCTAGTCCTGCGACGACTGTGTTGGAGGGGATGGTTGTGCTTTGGGCGACGGAGATTTGCTATCTGCGGGCGTGGCAGTATGCTTCTTCCCTCTCTTCTTCTGCTTCTTCGCCTCCCGAGAAAGATCAAGATGGAGGCGCGCTTCGGAAACAATTCATTCCAAATTGGACGGATCCCGAGTTTGAGGCGTTTGTGCATAAGATTGGGGATGTGGTTGATGAGATGGCGGGGTTGGTTAAGGGAAGTGAGTCGAGGGAGGATGTTATGGGGAGATGTGCGTTTTGGTGGAGGCAGGTGATTTGGTTGGAGGAAAGGTTTTGGCCGGTTGTTGAGTAGGATGATCATTTATATATACGGGCATAGCAGATCAAGCTCTTTCTCCGTAGTGCGCAATTCACCATCATTACATACGATATGTGTGCAATAAGCTAGTATTCGCTGGTACATTCACTCGCAATCGACTTTGGGCAATCGGACTCGCGTCGTCTTTTTCTACCGTACTTGGAATTACACCGTTTCTGAATAAATACCCATGAGACCATTTCAGCTAGCAGCAGAACGTTGGCCATGTAACAACCTCTGTTTTCAGAAAGTGCATTGGAATGGACGTGCGCTTTCGCCGACTTTAAACGGATCAAAAACGGCCAGACACAATACCCCTGATTCCCCTGACATCGTGGCCAAATGCCTTGTGATATTGTGGCCTCAGATTTAATCTTCAGCTTGTTTCGCCAAATCCAAACAAAGCAATGCGGTGCATAGTACGCTATGCTGTGAGATGGTTGGTTGGGCCGGCATACTTGCTCGCTCATCATAAACCCACCATCTCATTGCGCTCGGAAGACCACCCCTTGCCATTCCTTTCATTCGCTGTTGTCAAAACTGCTCGGTATACCTCATCGAAGCTGTTAGCCTCCGATTCTGTTGAGCTGTTTAGCATCCGCATCTGTGGTGGCGGGTGTGTATGGTGTCTGACAATCACGAAAACATCTGCGGAAGCATACATAACCACAATTACATCCAGCTACTCGCGATGGGCCTAAAAAGCGGAGACCTTCTTTTTGACCAGGCCAGGCCAGGCAGAGAAAGTTCGGTAACTTCTGTAAAAAGGCCATAATGTGCCTTTGGACCCAGTAACAACGATGTTGGATATGTGGTTTAGATGGCGTACAGTCATGCCATCATTCTCCTCCCACGAGCCACTGGGGGCTGCTTGAATTACCGGAAACAACGGTTGAGTATGTAATGGCCATAGGTTCCCACAGGAAGTGCGAATCCCGGAAGTTATCTTTTATGAAATTCACCCGGGCCGGACAATAGGATCTCACCATGAAATGATGGTAAGCCAGCCATTGTGGTAGAAGGGAAAGCTGACTGTAAGCACGGCGTTATGTCAGAGAGGAAGAATACTTGAGTGAGTTTATCAAGCTAGAGCCATGTTTACCTTTCCTTGTCATATACTAATGCTTTACTTGTTTTCAGGTCAAATGGCCGATTACATGATGCACACGAGACGGAAGTTTGCGTTTCTGGCTACATAAACCAAGGCAGCTCTTGTGAAGCAAGAAGGCCATTCACCGCACAGGTCCCGTGGTTTTTAAATTGGTGGAAGGGCTTATCGTGCTCTGCCTGCTCTATATCAAGAGAGCAGCTCTTGGATGAGGTGCTTCCTTAATTGATCCCACGGTACGAAATCGCCCGGGACAAAAGAGGTCTTCGACAGACATCATGAGGTTCATAAATACGAACAATCTTGTCTGACTCAACTAACCAAAGAAGCCCTTCACATCGGTTTCACAGTTGAGGAGATCTCCATCAAATCAGCAGGCCATCTAAATGATGTTACCGCTGTTGGCATCCTGAAACACTCAGGTTGATACAAGGAACTTTTCCCGATGCCGCATCCTAACCCAGACTAGCAAGATCACAGCGGACGGCTACCAGGCTTGAGTCCAAGTGTGTCAGTCCGGAATCCTCCGGGGCCCAAGGGCATCCGAACAGACGATATTCGCGCGATTGAGAGTTATTTCAAATGGATCCTGCAATAGCAAGGAGAGCTATGGTAATGGACAGTAGCCCAGCCCGAAATTGCAGCCAACGTGTCTTTCTGCCATCCTTGGAAGACAACATTTGACGGCCCAAACGCTGGAAATGGCCTGTCGTCCGTTTCAGTGAGTAACATGTGGGAAGCCCATAGCAAAGGTCCCGAGCCAGGGGAGAGCATCCCCAGTAGCCCCTGTAGCAGGCTGTGCTGCGGTCCTTAATTGGGACAATTTCTTTGCGACTTGGACACGGTCTACAAGTTGAAAAGAACATCCATATAGCGGCTCTCTGATACACCGTACGATAAAAAATGATCGCTTCTACAGCAGCCAGCATGGATGCAGAGCCCAACAATCAGAATTCTTGTGGGACTGGGTCGTCTAAGTCGCGGAAGAGTGTTGGCGATTCCGCCAGGACGAAAACAGTCGGAATTATGGGATGCTTGACAGGCCCCTTTGCAGCAAGGTTTGCAGTAGTAACCTTTTTTCGATTGAAAAATATGACAGTTGGCCGTGCAACATCCACTTGACAACGCGTGCAAAGTAGTGGGAATCTGCCATGAACTAGGGCAATATTATGACGATGGGCTCAGAAATGACATTCCAAAAGGATGACACGGGTATAAACGCAACGTCAATAGCAACTAAAAGTTGAAGAAATAGCTATAGCTTGCCTTTTCTCGGAAAGCAAGAGAGAAAAATGATGTACGGCGGTAAGCTTTCACCCCAAAAGGCCGCATGGGCTTCCTTGCAACATACGAGACAATCTTTCCGAGAAAGGAAGAAGGAAAAGTGGCCCTTTTGGAATTTTTCGCCCATTATGCACCATAACTATAAAGTCACAAAACATTCCAGGACCTCCTAAGCTCTGCTTGCTCTGTTTGCACCGTGGGAACATTTCATGGAGGCTATGCTTCCCTAATTTACATCTGAGATGACCTCGTTAGGAACCCAGACAACTTTCAAATGTGGCACGGCGACGATCTAAGCCATAACCCCGATAGCTGTTTCATATAACTCATCCAGCAAGTGATGAAGAACAATGATGTTGATAGTGGGTATTGACTGAGAATAGCCCAAGAGCCTCGCTCAAGCTTCGGCACCGTCCGATTATTGGGTGGTTCACCACAGGATTCGATGGAAATACAATACTGCCTAAGCAGCGGCAACAGATACATGTGGGCTTATGCTGCACTGTTTCATACACGATAGGGCTCGCCCAAAATTCAAGTCCCTCTTCTATATCGGCTGCTTTAAACTTCAGGAACACCGCCCTATTTCATAAAGGCGTTGAGCGATGTTTTGCCTTCGTCTGTTGCTCGTGAAGTTGGGATTCTACGACTCAAGTACGATAAATTTGTCTTGAGAGATGCCCGGCACTATTTCTACCGAACAATCTACCACATGTTACGGTGGGATCAGTCAAAGATCTCGACCAAGGTGATTAGCAACATCGGAGACACCCCTACAAATGCTCCAAAGCTAGTTCCTGCGGGTGGCTGGTATCTCGGCACAACTCAAGGTTTGTCGAGAAAAACGAGAACTAGGGAACAGGAAGCCCTAGTTGTGCTAGATTTGGGAAATTGATGTCCCGGCTCCCGTGCCATTTAATCTTATCGTTTCATAATAGAATGAGACATAACCATTCTTAGCGACTGAGATGTGTCATTAGAAAGCCACACTTTAAGCTCCCAAATTACCTGTCTACATTTGCTTATCCTAAGCATGCCACATGTTCGGCAACCTGTCATATGAGTAATATTGGCTTTGAAACTGTGTCGAGGACGTTGGAACCTTCTAGCATCCAGATTACAAGGTTGACCGTACGTCTGCATATGACCAAAGATGAAGGAAGCATCTTCGAATTCTACTCCTTCAGACACGCCCACCCAGTGTCGTCTCATTTTAGAAATACTGGATACATTTTGAATCCCTTGCTACTTTCCGATAACGTGAGGCCGTTCTGTGCTAATCCCAGACAATGCAAGCAGTTTTCTTATGCGGACTGTGGTCTTCCCTTTCAGAAACAATCTCCAAGACGCCCATGACCTTGGACGAAAGATCTCTGTTTAACAAAAGTTCAGGAGTAGAGATTGATCGGTTTTTCAAATCGCATTAATCACCTTCCTGGGAACCTGCGATGCGAAAATAAAAGCACCTGAACTCACACAATGAAATAAAAAAAGTCCCTGCAAAAGCTTGCAAAAATGATGGCTGGAACCTGGGCTGAGTTAACAAAAGCTTGACATATATTGTCTTTTGAAACATAGCCCCAACTAACAGATATGCTGGAAGTTAACCAGCTGCAAGCATCTCCCATCCGCTCATACGCTCATGCGAAGATGTGCTCAAACACAAACCAGAGCATCCAAGCCTGACGTTGAGATTCTACCCGCAACCAAGCGCGGCTTTAGAAAATACTCTCGCTGTTGACTCCAGCACACAATTTCTAGCGAATGTTTCCATCAGAGTTTAGCCGTGCCTGGTCCTGAGTACACTCCCAACAAAGCCCGCAGTCCAGCTTAACAGACTCGCAGGAATTACCAACTTAAGGTGTGTCTACCAGAGCCCAAATATGCAAGCATTGTTCTATCGTCATTCGTCACTTATTGATGCTCCGATGCCACGCTGCGAAACAGTAATTTTCCAGACAGCAAGCTGGGTACACCGGTATACTGCATTAGCAGTTCATAACTACTTCGATCTATCTTGACAGATAAACACCATCCGAATTCTCATATTAACAATAATCCGAAAAGCAAACGAATGACACCAATACAACCTACGGAGCCATCTGGGGCGCGGCCTCCGCTGAGATGATGCAGTATGTTGGATACAGGCTTGAGACTAGACTGGAATGCTTCAATATGTTTGCATACAGACGCCGTCCTTCAAGACCGATGCTCAGATCGACTTGGGCTGATCAGCCATAGCAGTGGTGACCAAATGGAGAAATAAGTCCTAACCTTATGCTATGGGACCTCTTGGAGGAGCAAATGAAGACACATGTTTCGATACGTTCAACTGCTTCAATACCTTCCCTCTACAGTATGTCAAAAAGAAAGTAAGAGATAATAATCATCATTTCATCCATCCATACTCACAAAACCCTTCTACTACTACTATTGCAAAACTGTAAACACCAAGCGATATAAGTAGTCCAGCATAAAAATATAGTCCATCCATGGGCATACGCAATCCACCGCGGCTATTACACCGAACACCAACACCACCTATGCAGAAATAGCTAGCTCTAGCTAGCAAAACAAGCAATGAAATAAACAAGCAAGAGAAAACAAGGAAAGGCATTAGGTTGTAGCTGCGCTCGCGCGCGCCGCGTTACTTAGTTGTCGATGGTATGAGCCGATTGGTTGGAAGCCTCTGTTGTCACTATTAGCAACCATCCAAAGATATATACATAACAAGAGAAAGGTAAACTCACCTTGCGAGATCAAACCCCTCATCCTCTTCCTCATCCTCGTGAACATCCGGCTGGTTCGCCCCATTCGCCTCCCCCTCTCCATCCTCTTCCTTCAAATCAGACAACGACCGTCCATGTCCCAGTCCGTTCGACGTCCCTGGTTTGCTGGGGCTGGCTAAGTTAGGCGGCGGCGGACTACTACTGGGAATACTCCCGAGTCCATCACCGGGTTCAATCCCGCCCTTCAATGGACTCATATCTGGCACCGGTCGTGCAGGGGTACTCCCTATATCCGCGAACTTCCAGAACTGCGCTGGCGAGCTCATAGGCATGAATTTTGACGGGATTTGTGCTGTGGAGGGTGGTGGGAGGCGGGGTTGTTGGCGTTGCGGGGCGGGGGTTATCATGCTTGAGGGTTCTTCGTTGTAGTAGGAGGAGGAGAGGACGGGGGGAGAATTGGCGACGTTGTCGGAGAGCCCGTAGGCGCGGCCTAGGCTGTTTTGGCCGCTGGTGGCGGTTTTGTTGCGGTTTGCGGAGCGGGTTGGTAATGGGGAGGGTTCTTCGTAGTCACGGGCGTTTTTGTGGCGCATTCGGAGGTCTGGGACGCCTGCGGCGCCGCGGGTGCCTCGTTCGGGTGTGTAGGCTTCTACTGGTGCAACGGGGAAGGAGCTGAAGCCTGGTGAGGAGACTTGGGGGGATTTCTTTTCGGCGGAGAACATCGCGCTTAGACCGTTGGCTCGGGAAAAGGGTTCTTTGGTGGCTGGTGATGATGGCGCGGATGATTGCGGTCCTCCTTTGCGCAGCTGCTTCTTCCAGTATTCTTCGCGGTATTCTGGGGCGATCTGCCATTTCATTCCTTTGCCGGGTTCATCGGTTCGACGGGGGACTTTTTGGAATGCTTTGTTTAGGGATAGATTGTGCCGGATGGAGTTCTATATAGTCAGCACACACGTTCACCACAAGAAGGTGACGCAACACACCTGCCATCCACTCTGCGAGTGACGATAGAACGCATATTTGTCCATGATCCAGTTGTAAATACTGTTCAGAGTGAGTTTCTCCTCCTCACTGGAAAAGATAGCCTGCGCAATCAACGTCGCATAGCTATAAGGCGGCTTCAGATCCTTGGCCGAATCCTTGCTGTAGTCGATCTCCTCTGTACTCTCCATCATCATACCCCGGTTATACAACGGCGACTGCTTAGCCGTCCGCGCACCCATGGTATCAGGCGAGCGCGGCGGCGGAGTGACCTGTCGTTTGAGGAAGTGCGGCGCAGGCGCAAGCGACGGTTGGCCATTCGACGTAGGAGGAGGTAGCGGGTCATCGAACGAGGCGGCAGCCGTATTAGCAACGGAGGTCTGCGACGCCTGAGCACCCGGATCCCACGCAACAGGCTCCTCCTCCCCATTAGCCAGCCGATGAGCGCGCTCAACGAAACTCGGATGAATATTCGCCTTATCACCCGGTGTCACAAACATCATTTGCGTATTAGCGATCTCAATAATATCGCCACACGACAAAATAGCATCAACCCCGCGCTTCAGCACCACATTATTCAACCGCACCCCATTCCTCCCATTAACACGTATATGCCAACTCGCCGTCTCCTCCCCGTCGTAGAAAATCTCCGCATGCAGCCTCGACACAAACTTGCTCGGCCCCAAATCCACATGAACCTCCGGCAGCGCCCTCGCAGCAATAGTCACCGGACTCGACTGTTCATCCAGCTTCTGCTCGCGATCGGGCTCACGACCGATGTTCACATGAAGCGTCTTCACGTAGTACGTCCAGTTGCGGCCGGCGATCTTGGCGTACGCCCGGATGCTCTGCTTGTTTTCGGTCTTGGTGTTGGAGTGATCGCGCAGCACACGTACTTCGTCATCGCGGGGGCCGCTGAGGTAGGAGATTACCAGGTCAACGAGGTCTTGGTTGGCGGAGAGGTCTGTTTCGTTTTCGTTGTTGTTTTCGGGGGGCGAGTCGGCTTCGGGGGATTCGGGCTTGACTCGAGGTGGTGAGCGTTCGACCTGCTTATGTTAATATCTCCAATACCAGTAGAATGTTGAGGTAAAGCTACCTTGCGCTTCTTACTGGCTGGGCGACTGGGCGACGAGTCGGGGACGTCCTCGACGTCGGATGTTTCCTGCAGTTGGATTTCCTTGCGGCGCGCGCGACGCCTGTTGGAGAGCGGCATTTTCTTGTCCTTCGTTTTCCTCTTTTTATAATATTTTATCCTTAATATTCCGTTTCGTTCTGTTAGGTCGATATTATGATCGTATCGCGTATATCTCAGCGTTGATTGTTAAGCACGAGCAACAAAGTAATCTTGCACGAGCGTGTTGATGTTGTGCGATAACCACGAGCGTGATCTCAGAGCTCCAAACAGACCAAAACAAGACCACGCAAGGCGACTGGAAGGCGAAAAGAGAATATTGAACCAGGGACTATGTATTTGCCACTGATATAGCGATCCAGAGAGAGAGTTGTGGAGTTGTTGACTGTGGTGGTTAGTTAGAAAGACGCGATCCGAGTGGCCGAAAAGAGGCTGGAAAATTAAAGGCGGAGGAAAACAGTGACGCCACCGGGTTTTTATGAGGTCAGCAGTAAACAGAGAGAGAGAAAGAGAGATATAAATTGTAGAGAATAGAGGGTTATCGTATATAAAATATCAAAATAAGACAAGACGTTGTTTTCAACAATATTATTATCCCAGTCTCGTTCTCAGACAACTGTTTGCGTCATGAGAAATGCAGAATTCGGTATTGGCTTCCATTTGTATACAAGCAAGTACAACTGTACTCCCACTACTGCCGGTGATAAGACTACTAAAATGCACACAATAAGACAACAATGCATCTGCAACCGGCGATCCGTTCCTGCAGCCAAAAAAAAAAACTCCAGTTACATCGCGGACCCGCACAAAAAAGTATCCCATTTCGGCGGTAACAACACACCTGGTAAACAAGAATACAAATAACAAAAGAGATATAGAAACAATCATAACCATAATAAACAGAAGAGTAAAATAGAACAGAAAAGAAACTACATCTTGGAATCGCCATCCTCATCCAACCCGCGTAGAGTCGGATACATGACTGTATCTTCACTTGTCTCACCCGGCCCTTCAGCCTTGACCGCTTTCTCCGTCCCCGTCTCCATTCCGCCCATCGCAACATCCTCTGATGGCGCTTCCGGTTGCTCTGGGGTATGCTGCTCTACTGGTGGTTCTGGAGACTGCATTTGTTGCTCTGCTTGCTCCTGCTCTGCCTGCTGCTGCCGCCGTTGGGCCTGCTCTTCCTCATCATACTCTTCATGATCAATCCGGTAGTTAATCCAACCCCGTAGACCTTCCAGCGCCCGCACCAGACTTACCCACTGCGAATCCGCCCGCTCCGCCACCTCTGTGGCAGCCTGGGCAGTCCGCAGGGTCGCGTCTGCGTCTGCGTCCGCCGATGAAGGCGATGACGAGGGACTACCGCTCGAGTGCAGGGCGGGGTCAATCAGACTGGCTGAAATTTCCTGTCCCGTAGAGGTAGGACCCGCAGACGGTTGCTTGGCAGGTGGGGTGCGGTCTCCATCAGAATCACCATTTTCGGAATCCAAGGAGACCGACATCCTATCGTCCGGTCGCGCCCGCTGGAGAGTGCCTCCTGTGTAGCGACGGCGGTCATCGTGGTCAAATACTCCGCTCAGCGTCGATGGGGGCGCTGCGCTCGATGCAGTCACGTATCCACCTCCCATGGTGTCTGGTACGGTCGCTGATGGGAGTCGCGGGTACATACTCGAGCTGCTACTATCATGGACTGAGATGGGGGAACGACCCGATGTGTACGATTGCGCACTTGATGGTGGCGTCAAGGCAGGAGTGCCCGTAGGGGGCGAGTGTGCCGTTGCGGTAGTGTTCAACATGGGAGCAACAGTGGTCGCCGCTGTGGCATGACTCGGCGGCAGCTGGCTGGGTGGTGAGTTGGTAGCGCGGTAATTCATGCCACCTTGCACGTAGTGAGCACCCGGTTGCGCGACACCTGCCGCAGCGACGTGGTCTTCGCTCTCGTAGATGGTGTTCTGCATCTGCTCCAAGAACTGATCAATGTTGAGCAAATCATTCTTGGTCCGCACGTTTGCCATAGGAGGCAGCTGGTATTGAACCGGCTGTGGGCCGCCATAGCCAGGACCACCACCCCCGCCACCGGCAGGTACGGCCACTGGGGCAGGCATGGGCTGGTATTCAGGGACAGGACCGCCGCTGAGGATGGGAAGCTGCAGGTTTTGCAGACTCAGAAGGCGCTGGCCGATCGCAGCGTACGAGTTGGTGTCGAACTGGCGGCGCTTCAGGTCACCAAAAAACTCATTGAGCGCATCATACCCGCGCTTCTTCGACTCGTACGATACATGTCCAGGGTCCTGGCCCTGATTAAGGGTGTAGTAAACATTGCCGTACGATGGGTTCGGGGGTTGTGCTGGGTGCGAGTGATAGTACTGGGGAGGCCCATGAGGATAGCCCTGGGCCGGTATGGTGTTCAATGCAGGCTCAAAGTAATGAGCACCGGTAGCATATCCTGAAGCCAAGAGGCGCAAGTCAGTCTCAGTCCAAGGGGTACCGAGTAGATTAGAAACGAGGGGGAACAAACCTTTAGTGTGTCCAGGGAACATCATATCAGGGTTCCTGGCGCTAGGCTCAGGAGACCGCACCAGGACCGAGTCATCAGCATGGGTCTTGACATGCTTCTTCAAATCTTGAGGCCGCTTAAAAGCCTTGCCGCAGAAGTCGCACTTGTGCGGTTTAAGCGGAACATGGACTCGAATATGCGAGGTGATATGGTCGCGCTTGACAGTGGTAGTGCGACAGCTACCCCATTGGCAAGTCAAGTTAAGGTTGTTGGTACTCTTGCGGCCGACATGGCGCTCACAAACGTGTTCCTGACTAGTCAGCAACTTATTCGATCAACGAAAGAAAGGTTAGATTTACATAAAGAGCCTCAGGCGAAGGAGATTTCTCAGAACACCCCTGCCATAAACACGCGAGTTCCTCACCCGGACGAGCGGCAGCGGCGGCATGGTTCTGATTCACGGCAGCGGTGGCCGCGGCGGCCGTCGCCGCGACCGAGGCCGACGGCGAAGTAGTCACGGGAGCCGTGGGCAACGATGCTGTCTGAGCAGCAGTCACAGGAGACGTTGCTGTTGCTATTTGCTGAGGATGCTGTTGATGATGGTGCTGGTCCTGCGGCATAGCCGCGGGTGCGGTGGCAGCAGCGTGGGTTTCTTGGTGGTCCGACATTGCCAAGACCAGGAGTGTTTTCTTGTCAATTTCTTGGAAGCAGCGGAATCAACAGAGAGAGAGAGAGAGAGATAGGGGGGGGGGGCAGCCACGAGGGATAAATAGGACTAGATAAAGGGATTATAAGAAAGGGCAAGCAACACGACAGCGTGTGGACGTGGCCAAACACGGGCGCACAAATAAGGGGTCCAACAGTGTTGACTCGATGAGGGGATGACTGTAGGTATCTTTGTAAATATGTAATCACGAGTATTTGATAGAAAAAAGGGGAGGGAAACAGATAGAGAAATAGGCAAGAAAGGTAGAAAGAAAGATAAGGAGAAGCTGGGGGAGACACCGGGGGATATAGACGAGGGGGCCTTGGGACTGCCGAGAAAAATGCCCAGAAACGCCGCCGCACAGCCGGGCGGAAAAAGGCCCAAGACTGGGACAAGACCGGGCCAAGACTGGCTGTGCTGACTGTTCAGGGATGACATTATTATGCACAGTCAGATACATTTGTATTATTCATAGTGATATACTCTGTACTCTGTACTCTGTACATAGTAATAGTGATATTTGTAGATACATAAAAATAAACATACATCTTCTCTACTATGTACAAAGTACCTCGCACTCTTATTACAAGTATGTATGCGAGAATTACTTACGAATAGCACGGTCTTGGCGTATTTGGTAATACCAACCAACCCCACCAAGACTTCCTCTCTCGGCAACAATTCTGGGCATTTCCCCCCGTCGGCCAAGACATTCTCCGCTCCGTCATTCTGCTGCCTAATCCAGTAAGACAGCCTACCACACTCTCTTGCTGGAGTGTAAACATATGAATTAATCATGGCGCCTCCGCGGCGGTTGATACCAACTCCAAATATTCAGTCCAACCTTGATCCCCTCCTTCACTGGAAACGCCCCGTGCCAAGTCTCCGGGATCCCTCGTCCATCCGCCCGGAGATTCTCCCAGAATATCGCGTTTCCTTTGATCGGTTTGAACGTGATTCCTTCTGTCTTCCCACCACTGTCACTGCTACCCTCGCTATCACCATCACACTCCAAAAACCGACACCATGCCTTCGACCCCGGCCACCCCAACTTCGGGAAATTCGTCCCCCCACCTACACAATCCGCCGCCAAATACACCATAAACGTACTAACCCTGTCTCCCCCCCTAGCCGCCGACCCAGCCCAGTCGAAATGATGCCGATAATGCCCCGACGCGTTATACCGCTGCGCCCACATGCGCTCGATATACAAGTGCGGGCGCCAGCCCTGGAACGCGCGCGCGCGGTCTTCGACGCAGCGGACTGTTTCATCGCGGGCGAGGAGGGCGCGATCGGAGAGGCGGACGGATGGGTCGATGCGTTGCGTGCTGCCGTCGTAGATTATGGAGGGGGTGTAGTGGCCGACGCTGTAGTGGTAAGGGTGTTAGGAATGCGGTTCATGCAGGATATCTGCGGGGAGGGGGGGGCTCACCTAACGTCAACTAAATGATCCGCCTCCTTCTCCGTGAGAAAATTCTCGATGTATATCACCAACGGATCCCGGGATAATATATGCACCTTGAAATCCTCACCCGCTTCCCTCCGGGGGCAATTCAACGGTACGTCATCCTCAGGGCTGATAAAGCTATCATCTTCCAGGTTCAATGCGGGAATCTCGTTTCCCTCGGCATCGTATGCGACTGCGTAGTCGAGGCCCCAGGTGTCTTCTTCGTCTCGGGGGAAAATCTGGCTTAGGAGCGGCGCTAGGACGAATATGTAGATTGGGATTAGGTAGAAGAACCACGAGACGACGGTGGATGCGTTGGGGAGGGAGGGCATTGTTTGATTATATAGTAATGGATGAGTATATAAAGTACAAGACAAGAAGAATATATGGGAGATCTCAGGGCATTGAGTCTGCGACGCGGTCACCGTTCGCGATTCTCCAAAAAGGCGTCCAAAAAGAAAGTAAAAAGAGAAAGTTGAACGGTTCGCTAGTTAGTCATCCATCTGGGTTGCACCGTTGGCATTGAGGTTATCCCAATGGCCATACACTCGCAACAGTGTCAACAAGTTGAGTGACGACGGGATGGACGGAGCACAATGTCATCTGTGGGTCCGACATCGGCAGAGATTAACCATCATCGCTTCATCTTCATACGGAGTACAGTACAGAGTGCACCGGAGTACGAGGTAACAGTACATCAATCATCAACTCCATTAGCTCTTTTCTCTATTTACCGTCATTACATATCTTCATAGCCAAATACGTCAACCAATTATTAACATGAAAGTAATCGAGCCCGCCAAGAGTCTCAAAATACAGACAACCCTGCTAATTCCCCACATTCATCCACTGAAGCCAATCCTCATTGAGATTACCGGCCGGCCGGTACGCCTCGTTACTACCAAAGATGTCGTCCAGTGGGATTCCCAGATCGATGCCCATGCCCGTCGGATTGTTCTCGTCGACTCCTGTGGGTACATCCGGCACACCGTTGGGTGCGGGCATTGGCTGCTGGTCCGGCTGGGTCTGCTGGTCGCCGGTCCAGTTCTGGGGCTGGAAATTATACCCTTGCCACATGAAATTCTGGTTCGGAATAGAAACCAAATCAGGACTGCTAACAACTTCGCCAGATGGTGACATGCAGGATATGGGTGACTGGAGCCGGGATTGATTGGGCTGTTGGCTATTGGCAAAGCGGTTTGCCATCGCGGGGTTCATTCCCGTAGGAGTCCCAGTGCCGTTGGCGAACAAAGAGAGATTAGAAAAGTTCTCCAAAGTCGGGGTCGACAGGCCCATAGCGTTAGGATTTCCCGCCATCGTAGTAGTAGACGGCATCCCGGATTGTTGCTCAAATGAGAAGTGCCCATCTTCCAATGTCGACATTGGTTGCGTGGGGTATGCGAATGGGTCATCTGATGGGAACATGATGGGCATCAAGTCAGGGACATTATTAAAGTTGGCGAACTGCTGAGGGAACTGGAATGCCGGTGACGCATCCCGTCTCGCCGCTGTTTGTTGGATGGGAGAGGGTGTCGAGAAATTGGTGTTGGATGGGGTCGACGATCTAGTCTCCGCTGCAGCAGAATCCGGTGTCGAAGGCACCCATCTTGGGGTCGCGGTCTTACTGTGCACGTCGCTGTTGGTGCGGCTATGGCCTCTATGTGCATGACCATCGTCCAGGCTCCTTGGTCGCGCTTCAGCTCTTTGAGCCCTTGCCATCATCTGGATCGGAGTCGTGTTTGCTCTTTGGGGTGCGCGCATCTCAGCCGGAATCGTAGGTCTGGGATTGATTGGTTTGCTAGATGGGGCAGGACGTTTGAGATTAACAGGAGTGACCGAGCTCTGTCGGTTTTTGAGCAGTTCGGGTAGGTTCTTGAATAGACACTGGAGTGGTGGTCAGCTTAGAGACATACAGAGAAGGTTTGGCCAACGTACGTTAAGACTCTGCGAACATCGGTCCGCGGCCAGACTCTTCTTGGCCAACCCAGCCAAGGTGTTTTTACCTTCCATGGCGTCCTTCAGCACGCCATCCTTGGCGGTGGGCGAGTCGGGGTTTTCGAGAACGAAGAAGATTAGGGAGAGAATGGCGAAGTAGGTAGTGTACATCGTGAACCAATAGGAACCATTGAGGAGTCCTCTCTTGTGCATCCCTGTGGTAATATGGACAATATTACGAGAGACGCTGACACAAGCCGCGGCGCATGCGTACGACCGTTTATCTACGCCTTGCGCCTGCGACCCACTGGAAACATAGTGCAAGAAAGGTCGATACATGACGACTTGCACATGTGCGTAGCTAATACGGAGCAACTGTCTTATACTATTTCATTGTCAGCCATGTGCAAGCAGCCAAAAGATGTGAGGAAGCTTACCGCTCGAGTTGAGGTGAGACTTCGGTGCCAGGTCGAAGATCCGGGGGTAACTCCTCCATCCAAGATTGGAGATCGCGCTCGATTTCCCGAATCTTCGCGTGGCTCACCACGTAACGGTGATCCGACTCGGAGCGATATTGCGCATTCTTAACTGGATAGATGTACTTCACCACCTTCATGATGATATTTGCAAGGCGAGTATGAGCATTACAACCAGCCATCAAAGGTGTCCGGTCAAGCGGCATGGGCTGTACGCCTTCAGCTGTGATGAATTCTCCGTCGACATCCATGGGGTATTCTTGGTCGATGTCGTCGTCACTCAGCATCTGCGGCAGCCCAAGAAGGGTGCTCACGTAAACGTCCATTTTGCGGACGACCCAGAATATCCGCTTCCGTAATTCTCGTTCGATGGGGTTGAAATCCGCGGCGACAGAGCGGTGCAGGCCCAGTCGAAGAGCGGAACGAAGGGCGATGCCAACGTACGAATAGCATGTACTCAATTTGGCGGAGGACTGGAGGAAAAGCACCATGAAACAGATGGCTTGTAACGAGGTCAAATCCCGGCAATCGGTGATTTCCAACAGCTGCCTTCCAGCTTTGAAGAATTGGAAGCTTGAGTGCAAGTTAATATGAAGTCATCCTGCGAATACTGGAAAATGAAAGACATACCCCTGACCAATTGCAGTCTCGTAGCCCGACACATCGAGGGTACCAGCCCCATCATCCGAAAACAAACAACCGACGGACATGACAATATAAAGAAGCGGAAGGAACGAGTGCTCTTCATTACTGTACTGTTCAGCAGGGGTATCATAAATCCGATCTAACATGGCATAAAACGAGGGCTCGTGGACAAATCGCATCAGAGAGCAGCCATCTTCAAAGGCATTATGGCACAGCCGTCGCGCGACGTTCCGTGGTGGGAGATCATGCGTAGGAGGTATCGAGGATTCTTGCGGCGAATCGCCCACTGATCTGGGACTGTCCAGCATGGGCGGCATCGGCCGCGACCCCATTGGAGGTGGTTGGATATCGGACGCCCCGAGTTGCTTTCGCAGTCGCTGTAGGAAGATGATGCCCGAAGTATGCCCGTGATAATCCCAATGGCCCTGGTCATCAAGATCCAAAAGGCCCGCACTATCAACCATGGTCTCCAGCATTGAGTCATCTGGGTTTTCTTGGGCCTGCGCCGGTTGCGGTGGAACAGGTGATCGGGGTGCGATTGGGACAGGCTGTTGGGATTGCGACGGTGTCTGTGGCTGCAGCGGTTGTTGCTTGTCCTTTTTGGATGTTGCCAGCATTTGTTCCGTCGCATGCAAATCGAATTGGGGGTCGTCGAGATTGATATCCGGAAGGACAACTCGGATGAGAGCTTCGGCCTTGTGCAGACGATTTTCGAGGGCTTCCACATACTGTGGGGCAGGATTCCGGCGACGATTTGACGGTTGGTCGTAGGTGCATTCTAACGAGGTATTTATGTTAGAAAGAGTTTGGACACCCAACGCCACAGGCCAGCTTACCATAACTATACACAGTGCAATGAGTACACGGCTGTTTCCCATCGCACTTGATCTTTTTGCGTCTGCATTCATCGCAGGCTCTGGTCACCCGTCGTCTCTTCTGCATATGTTTCGGATCGTTCGAGGGCGTTCCCTGGGAGTGGTCCTTATCATCGTAGAAGTGGTCATCATCTTCATGGGCAAGGCCGGCGTGGTTTTCGCCGTAAAGAGGACTCGACGGAGCAGCCATATTGCATGAGGTGTTCGGGAATTGGTGATGGGGACAGATTCATGCACGGATAAGGAGGGGGGGAGAAGGAATCAGCAGGGAGAGGCGCCGAAAGGCGATCCGTCCGAATTGACATTCACAAGGCGACTCGAGCAGGTTACAGACTCATGGGAGTCGCAGTCACTCAGGGGGTGAAAGACCGATAATAGATCCAGTGGGCGATCAACTAGGCCGTGGAATGCGAAATGATCTCACGGCTTTTGATTTTTATTCCTCGATTTGGGGGAAATTGAGTGAATGTGGGCGAAAAGCGATAAGTGATGACGCTATGGTCAACCGCACGATCGCTTTTTGTTTTTCTTTGTAATTTCCTTGTGCGACGAGGCTCGGTTCAATGGAGAAAAGCAGTAACAAAAGGAAAAAGAAGAAAAAAAGAGGTAAAGAGAAGAGAGAAGAAAGAACAAGACGGCAATTACCAAAGAAAAGGGTCCTTTTGGAGACGGTGGATATGGCGCAAAGACACCAATCGGAGACCAGTGCGATGGAGGGAGAAAACGAGGTTGAGTCAGATGGAGAAAGTACTTGAGTCCATTGCTACTATAAAGAAGTAGACGCTGTTAGTAGTAGAATTTCGAATTCGACGGGACAAACAGAAGTGGGAGAGCAATCAAAAGGCGAGGAGTTGCTGGGGGCCGGAGGAATGGATGGCGGCCGTACAGTAGGAGTATTGCGAACGCCCTCTTGGCGATGCAGAGAAGTGTAATAGTATTAGTCAAGCACAATAACAGTAATATCGTGTTGATAATACGAGGAGTAGAAGAAAAGAAAAGGTATTAAATAGACACTCGACCAGGTTCAACTGACAATCGAGTCCAGCGAAGATTCTGGCTGGTCGAAGTTTGGGGTTTCCCTTTTGGGAATGTCAGGTGATGAACCAGTACTTCTCTTCTTTCATGTGGACATCTTCTTGCGAGTTATTTACATTGTTATTTCAAATATGGTCCAACATTTATTTCATATCCTAAGTCTCAAAGGATAGTCCACTGTACAGTACAGTACCTACACTCCAGAACGACATCTAAGCACACGTCTACATACCATCACCATGAGACAATCGGTTAGGGCAGGGCACGCACTCTCGCCTAGGATGATATGATATTCCTTCTCAATTCGATGAATAGGAATTGTCCCTGAGAAAATCCACAAGATGCCACCGATACGCGCAAGGTCGTCAATCCAACAGGCGCCACTAAATGGAAAAGAGTTTAATTTTCAGCTGTCAAAAAGGAACAAGTTTCGCTTGTGAACAATACCCCCCCTCCCCCCCCCCCCTAGAACAGAACAACAGAACAGCGGTGGGGCCCAATTGGAAACTATTGGATATGCAGCGGTCGTGGAAAGTGCCCTGCTGTCATTATCGAAATCCAGAAAATACCAAGCATTTTCCCCTCGTATCCTCGGCCAGTCAAAGCCCGTGAAAACCACCGAGGACCGATTATCGCCGATCATCATTGCCGAGGAAAATCTGAAGAAAATTCATGGAACTTCGCGATGTGGGACTCGGACTTTGCGATCTTCGGGGTTAACACTGAATACACCGAGGCCGGAGCGATTGAGCAGATTCGATGCTCTGAGGTTCTCTATCGCGCGATTAACTCGTCCGAAAGCTTGGTAGAACAGCGCCTCGGACGGACTGGTTTTGCAATCCGGTTAATCTATCAGCCTGTCATGGTGATCGACATGGTCTTATCGCCGCTCAGGTCAAGATCAACTTGTGATTGCGATGCGGTCTACTGCCATCGTCTACAGGGGTTTTACACTTGTGTATATTGAAGAGCACAAAAGCGGATATATTAAAGTCATTATCAGACTTCTAAACACACACACACACACCCATCAACGAGCTGATCTGACTACGCCAGATGCCAAAATATATATTTTTGATACCAGTGATAATCCGGACAAGTCCAAAAAGTAGCTGAACGAACATATTATCTTAGCCTAAGAATTCGATGGATCAGGACGGATGGTACAACCATTTCTGTTTCTCGGTCCCAGAGAATATTTCGGAGCCTTGGGTCTGCATGCGATGCACCGTAACCCACACATTCCCTGGAAAGCATGTCAGTTAACTGCCAGTGCAAGTGTTTTATTCCATGTGAAAACATACACGAATGCGTTTTCAAATGCTTCTAGTAGCTGAGCTCGTTCTTCAACAGTTACATCCTTCTCTCAGTACGCTGGTGGCATAACTTTGGGCATTCTCTCCATCAAAACATAATCCATAAACCCCCCGGGGACCCAGTCTTCACTTCCCTGTATCTCATGCTTTCCATGCAAATAATCTTGGAGTTGATGAGCACCCTGCTTTTGTAAAAAGGTCAATACCATTGATTTCTTTTTGTGTAAGCTTGGGGATATCTGGCTTTGCTTGTTTCGCTCTTTCTTGAGTAGATACCGCTGTTGATCCAATGCATGGTATTCTGAGACGGTTAGCTAGATGATAAGAATAACTACTATTATTGGAAAGATAGCGTACTACATCCGGGTCTTGAGAACAGCCCCTTGACAGCCATCGATGTTGATGCATATAGAGGTCCCGTGTGATTCTGTTTCCAAATATACCCCTTCGGGATAAATCTCAAAGAGACGATCACGACCATGAGATCTAATATTTCCAGTACAATTTAGTAAGTACTCGAGGCGTTTGGGGGATCTCAGTATTTGCCGCGACGCTTCGCAGACAACAATCACACATAACGGAGCATATACGGAGCATATACGGTCTAAGGACCCGGGGCGTTCTCGAGGTCATTTTCTACGCAAATTAGGTCGTTTGAAACCGAAAGTCCGTCATTGTTTGAACGAAGAGCGAGAAAGGCCCCAGCTTGCCAGAGATTACAAAGACAAAACGAAGAATCTGATCTCGGAGCAGAAATGACACATCCCGAAAGGAGATACCATGCAGAGAAGCAACTTAGTGTGAAAGTAAAAGAGCTCGCTTCAGCTTGAGTCGTTGTCTGGGTGTACTCCGCATCTATACAAATGGACTGAGCATACAATTTAAAGGCCCTAAATTTACGGAATACATCTAGGGGGGCGCATGTTTTACCCATGTTACTTTTTTTAATATTTCATTTAGATATCCACTAGCAAGAATCTGAATCAGAAGTGATGAACAATCACGAAGAGAAAGAAATAAAACAAGTCATGAAACGCATCCCGCGGCAAAGTCATGAGGGTAGAAATGGCTCTCATGGAACAACATTCGAACCAAGGCCTCCATAGTATAACGCGCATCATTTCCCGCATTATGCAAATACCACCCCGTAATTCCAAACGTTGCAAGAATACTACCCAGAGACCGCACGTTCATCTCCTGTCTAGACACGCGGAATAATTCAGCTGTATCGACCGTGTCCAGGAACACGCCCTTCTCCTTGGATTCTCTGAAGAGGGGCACACCCAGGTCGAGGAAGAAGTTGACATCCGCAGATGGGTTGTGTCCCACAAGGACCACGTTGCGTCGTTCAGCTTGGGCGTCTTCACCGCCTGCGGTCTCAGGGAGGTAAGATCGGAAACAGTTGTCCACAACTGACGGCATGTCCTCTAGCTTGACCCATTCGCTTTCTCCAAATTCAAATCTATCGGGACATCCGGGGACAAAGTCATGGTTGATGATGTGACCATATTCCACTACGCGTAGATGGCGGGATTTGATTCGGGAGATCCAGTTGGCGGCTTCCTGGCCTGGAGCAGTGCCGGCTAGGTCCCGTGTGTCAAGTATCGAAAGACCAACCTCGGTGATCTGAGAATGGCATCGTTCGTTGCATTCAACATCGACGCTGATAAACACCGGCTCGTTTAGGAATACATACGGAGCGGGCTCGTCGAAACTTGGGGCCAGCTGAACTGATTTCCACGCCGGTTCTTCTCCTTCCGCCACCCCCTCGTTTGGCTGCTGGCTCGACTCTTGCTGATTGGAGGGGTCAGGGTCCTGGTTGTTGGAGGGATCACGACGCAGGCCAAAATAGGTTTGCATTCGTTTCAGACACCGGATCCATTTGTGCTCCGTCTGGATACGGACGAGCTGTTTCTTAGCCTTTGAGGCACCTTTTTTGTTCTTGGTCAATTTAACTGCTGCTTCGATCTTTTGCTCATAAGCCTGGTATTCCGGAATTGCGTCGTTTTCAAATATGCTGTTCGGCACAGGTTTTATGCGCGACTCGAGGTAATCTTTCATCTCCCGGCTGGTACTCCGACCAAGGAATATGGGCTGGGGGGTGCCGTCTTCCTGGAAGTTCAGGACGAATCCATCGCTTGATGGAAGGGAACAGGTGGTTTCGCATTTCCGATTAATGTCTTTGAGTAGTTTTTCGACCTGGCTGACAGGAACGAGGAGGAGTGGTTGGGGGCTGATGTGCAGCGGGACATGGATGTAGTATCTGCCAGTCGTTAACATTGGTATCTAACAGCAACTGGCAGGTGTAGACTTACATGTTCCACCGACGTTTCCAGAATTTACCCTCATCAAAGAAAGCACTTGCGACGGGCTGGGAGGGGTCTCCGTGGATGAACCGGTATGGGAATCTGGACACGGCGATGAGAGGGCAAAAGCTACTAGACACGCATACCTCTGTTTCCTGGGCCATTGGAGGATCCTCAACAATGGTGACAGACTGGTCCTCGGATTCATCTTTCGGTGCCTCCTGGTTTTGGTCTTCTGAGTGGACGATGGTCTTGGGGGCCTCGGCTTCCTCGACTGGCGCTTTCTGAGAGGTTTCGTCCTTGATCTGCTGTTCGTGAACTGACGCTTTATGAGAAAGTTCCTTGGCTGCTGCATCGTCAGGCTGAGTCTCAGGAACCTCGACGACAGACACAGTAGGCACAGGCACAGGCATTTTCAACCGGGTGTTTGTCTGCAACAGAGATCCGTCTCCGTCCCCGAAAAGCAACTTGAGACGTTCTGCTCTGCCCATTTTCACGGATAAGTACTGAGAATTGAGTTAATTAACATTTCCACAAAATGAACCATGAAAATGATTGCAAGAAAGGATGAGGATGAGATGAAGAACGGAGACTTGAGAGGAAGGAGCAGGGAAGAGGCGTCCCGCAGAGCAAACAAGGAGCGACAAACAAGTATTCATTGTTAGTCGCAACTTTATGGGATATAGTATCAGGCATATTCACTCTGAGCGCATTAGTGCCATATTGCCAGATTCACTGTTGCCGGTCATTATTTATATTGCACGATTGAATTGGTCAACATGGAATTCCCACTTAAGAAAATCATTTTGTCGACAACATCACTATGGCCAGTAAAGCCATATGAGCTGTCAGTTTAATGCGCTACTTCATTTTCCGCGTGTTGCTTTTGTCGTTGTGTAACTTCATGTGTTGCTCTGAGCCTCTGAGGAATGGAATGAAGCTATACAACCCGGAACAATATTTGTGCCGCCACACCGAGACCGACGCCTGAGATCGCATCGCATCGCATCGCAACAGATTGTCCCCTGCCATCCCCATTCCTTCGCTAAGACGTCAACTCCTACCAGGGATCTCAATCTGACAGCGTCTTTCCCTCTATCAACATACATAATTCGCTTAATTTTCCCTGACAACGTCTATGGAAGCTCCCCGATACTCCTGAGCTGATCCTATCTCCACCTCCGCCTCCGCATCTCAAGCCGCGCCTCTAACTACACCCTGAAACAAAATGGCCATGCTAGATGGATACGACGACGATGAGACTGGTGGCGTTATTCTCGACGGCCCATTCGACCCTGACGCCCAGGCAACCGTGACCGATTACATCGACTACACCGAATACCTCCCAGCAGACCTCATTCGATCCCTCACTCTCATCGGTGGCTTGGACGACCGCTACATCGAAGCCGCGCAAAGCGTACATGAACTGACGAAAGATTACGGTCAGCTACCCCAGATCACCCCCGATACGCGTCCGCACCCCCAGAACCTCCGCAAAGACATCTCCTTCCAGCTCGACCGCGCCATCAACGCCCGTGAGTCCGCCTACGCGGAGGCCTGTCGTCTTTACGATGTCGTCGACCATCACTTCAATCGGTTAGACTGTATCCGAAAGAAGCTGGAGGCGCTTCCCAAGCCCTCGTCGCGCGAGCCTACTCCCGATCCTGCCCAGGCCGGAAAACGCGCTCAACCAAGCAGGAAGAAAGGGGCGGATGCACCAGGACGGACGCGCATCACGTTGCGCTTGGATGGTGATAATGTGACTCCAGGACAAAAATCACGGAGTCGGCGGTCCGCGCTCTCTGCTGAGCACCTGGCCTTCAATCCGGATTCGCCTATTGCTAGCACGGAACATTCGGACGACGAGACAGAGCCCAAGCCGCGACCTTCAGCCGAATCACAAGTGTCAGGGATTCCAGCCAAAAAGGAGAAGACGCAGAGCAGGCGATCGCGGCCCTCCGTCTCAGGTGCAACCGTGTCTACCAGCAATGCATTGGCGATGCTCCGACCTCCTCCGGAGGGTGCAAAGCCTGGTAGCGAGGACATGCCATGGCTGCGTCTGACGGAATGGGAGATGACGAAATTGCGCAAGAAGATGAAGAAGAACGCAGTATGGCAGCCCAGTGAGGTCATGATCCACCGCGAACTTGCTCTACGTGGGCGCGGCTGGGAAGCCTACAGAGCAGCCAAGGCGCAGGCAGACGCCGACGGTACTGAATTTGTCGACTGTGATGACATCGCGAACACCTATATTCCTGGCAAGTTGATGAAGAAAAGCGACGCCACCAAGGAAAATCTTTCTATGGCGGAAACCAAGCTGAGCAACCGCGGTATGAAATTGAACGAAGCAAAAAAGCTGAAACGAGAGAATCTCGCGAGGGAACAGGCTGCTGCCACTGCCGCTGCGGCCGCCGCTGAAGCACAGGGCATACCCATACCCGTCAGCCTTACTATCGGAATCGAAGAAGACGCGCCGGAAAAGCTGCCTACACGGGCATCAAAGAGAAAGTTAGAAGAGTTCCTACCAGCTGATGCAACAGCCCAGGCAAGCGACGAATCTCGTGCTTCTCGTTTGACTAAACGCCGCAAAGCCAGCGATGATGATATTCCAACGGATCCTCGCGCCAGTCTATCCAGCGCATCAGTGAACACTAGCACTTCTGTCACGGCAACTGCCAATGTCCCCATCGAAAATACAGCGCCAATAGTTGACATCAAAAAACCATCTCCGCCACCAGCTGAACTAAAGGCTGAACCAGCAGCAGCCGCTCCCGCTCCCGCCCCCTCTACGGATGACCACTTCGCTACACCAAACCGACCACCCTCACGAGGCCGCTCCATCTCCCTAGCAGAACAAGCAACCACGCTTAACGCCCCCGGAGGCCGCGATCTCCGCCGCAAAAGCGCCACTCCAGCCCGAAGAACCCCCATCCCAGTCCCCGAAACCGGACCTACTCGCCGTCGAAAACGCCCCGCTCCGGGACCAGTGTCTTCAGGACAAGACGGCGGAGCAGCAGTCAGCTACGGCCGTCGCAAGGCGAAGATGAGCAAGAAGCGGCCCGGGACGCGCGAGCCCGACCAGCGGGATAACGTCCGTATTGATGAGGATGGAGTGTTGGAGGAGATTGATTCCAATGAACCGCGGTATTGTATGTGTGGGGACGTGAGTTTTGGGACAATGATCTGTTGTGAGAATCCTGATGTAAGTCGCCGCCTTGTATGTCCCAGGTACTATCAAAATCAAAACTAACATTCCCGGCAGTGTGACAAAGAATGGTTCCACCTCGACTGTATCGGTCTCTCAGAAGTCCCTAGTCGAACAGCAAAATGGTTCTGCCCCGATTGCCGGGTCAAGTTCAACAAGGGACAAGATGGAATTGTCAAGATTGGTTCTCGTCGGTAATTGGATTGCATTTGCATTGGATTGGGATGTATTCTATTTTTTTTTTTTTTTTTTTTGACTGCTCTTGGTACGATACCACGGTGTTCGCGTCGTTCAAGGTTCTGTTTACCGTTTTGATTCAAGCATGGCGAAAGGACGGTGTTCTGGATTTTGTCGGTCCTCAGCTTATGGATTCACATATTAATCAGACCGTTAATCAAGAGGATTTCCAGAATGATAACTATGCCATAGACTCAGACTTCCCAGCATACCGACTCTTCTCATCAAACTCGGGTTTTACAAGTCCCCTTTCCTCTTTGACCTTCACCTGCAATCCCTTCAAAATAGCATAAATCGTCCTCAAAGTCGGCGTGGAAACACCCAATCTCTCCCCTTCTCGTAGCGGCTCTCCGACAATATTCTCGATTTCCATATAATTGCCCTACCTTGTTAACCCCCGAACACCCTCCAAAGAAGTCACAAGCCAGAGGGACTGACATACCTTCTCAACATCCTGACACATACTCGGCCTAAAAAACGCCTCTGGCGGATCACACCTAACCGCCTGCTCAATAACCCCCTCTTCATCTTCATCTCCATTAACAACCCTAACCCCCAAAGCCCCCGCAACAGCAATAGCCTCCCTCATAGCCGGTTTCACCAGTTCATCGATGACATGCTCGTAGACGCGCATCCGGGTGATATCCATACGCAGTATCGCAGAGATGGGGTTGAACGAGGCATTGTAGATGAGTTTCCGCCAGCGGGTTGCGGGGACGTCGGGGTCGTGTTGGACGTCTACGATATTGTGGTTGTTGGGGGAGTTGTAGGCGGTTATGAAGGTTTGGGTTGCTGTTGTTGCTCTTTCAGATAATTCGCCATTACCGCTATTCCGATTGCGGGAGTAAGGGAAAGGGCCTAATCTCACACGATCACGATCATCATGCCTGATAAACCCGGGTTCGACCTCTGTGGCGCTGGTGAAGGAAACACCGGAGATGATGGGGTTCGTGGGGAATCGCTCCCGAAACGGGTGCTCGATGTTGATTCCGTTCTGGATGAGGATTATGGAAGTGTGCGAGGGTGTTACCGCTGGTACGATTAAACTGGGGAGAGATGGGGGGATGTCGGGGGTATTTTTTGTGGTCAGGATTATGTAGTCGAATGTTTTCTCTTCCTTATTTGGAATTGTATTTCTGGCTTTGATTCTTGTTAGTGGAAATTCATAATTTTGGGTATAAGGGTATGAGATGAGTGTGTACTATGTGACGGTCTCCAACTTTGAATATAGCCATGGTCCACTGAATCAATAGTGAAGCCGTTTTTCTCGACGACGGCGTAGTTGGAGCGCAGGATGGCGGTTACTTCTGCGAGGCCGCCGGTTTCAAGGGCGTAGGCTGTTACGGTGCCTATGCCACCGCTGCCAATTAAGAGGACTTTGAGCTTTTGGCTCATTTCTGTAGCAGGGTGTATCAGGGTATGTTGATAGTGGGAGTGTGTTGAGGATCAGTTCAATTGGAGATAGAGGGGCTTCCCCGCTTCCAATCATTGATAGGGCGTGCTAGATTGTGGGAAGTATTTGTCTACCATTGATACCGTTGATAAAGTGAATGAATGTATACAGTAGTATTGTCTAGAGTACATAAGCCATAGTCTATTTCAAAGCCCACTTCCCACCCTCGCTGGCAATCTCCACCGGCCGCTTCTCGTCCAGCGAGACCCGACCCGCCTGCAGAATGGCAGTCGTGGCAATCGTATTCTTGAGCGTCGGCAAGGGCCGTGCATCAAGCTCGTCGAGGGTTACCCGGCCCTCGTTGACAGCAGTGACTGCGTCGATGAACTTCTCGAAACTGATGTATCCGTAGCCTGTTTGGCCGGCGAAGTTTCCTGCTTCGTCGGGGGCGTAGCGCATGTAGAAGCTGGGATTGTGAGTATATGATTTTGAATGGGGGTTTGATGAGGGTAGCTTACGGGTTCACCCAGATGAGTCCTTGGTCGTCGCCGGTGACATCGTAGCCTCGCTTGGCCTGGTTGATGCGGACTTCGCCCTTGGATCCCATGTCTACATGGTCAGTCAGCGCAATTGGCGACGAGATGGGAAGCGAAACTTACAGTGGAAGTACTGATTCGAGTGAACACCCGCATTGTGCGGTGCCGTCCAGCTGGCAGTATACACAGCAGTAGCATTCTTCGAAGGATCACTCTTCTTCCTCCAGTCGACAAGCAGAGTGATAGTATCCTCCGTCTCCGGCGCACATCCCAACTCAACCGCAGCTCCAGTCGAAGCAGATGCAGTAACCCGGACAGGAGTATACTCTGGCACCATGCTCTCACAAATATCAATGTGGTGCGAGTTCAGATAATACGAAATATCACTGTCCTTACCAGCCCACGCCTTGAAGGTCTCGAGCTGACTCTTGGGCTGGCTCATGTAACTATAGAAGTAGTTGAAGTCGCCCAGGTTAAGAGCTTTGTGGCGTGCATCTGCGTAGGCGGGGTCGAACCGCTTGTGGTGCTCGACGAACACGAAGACACCATGCTTGCGCGCCTCCTCGACCAGGGTCAGATGGTCCGAAAGGAGCTGAGTGGCGGGCTTGGTGATGAGGACGTGGATCTTGCGCTGAATGGCGTACAGGGCGATAGGGAAGTGAGTCGGGTCGGGAGTGAAGATTGTGATGGCCGAGCCGGGCTCGAGAGCATCAATGGCTGCTTTATAGGCATCGGGGTCCTTCTTGTCGTCGGCTGGGAATGAGTCGAAGGACACGTCGAGGCCGTTGTAGGTCTCGGAGATGTTCTTTTGGAGATGCTGGCCTGTACATTGTCAGTGTATTGATCCCTTCTGTCCATGATTGTCTTATGACTTACGAATGCCTGGGTATTTGGCACCGGAGACACCAACCATGCTCAGCTTCCCAACCTTGCCTCTCCGCCGGAGATCGAAAAGGGACAACCCCACGACTCCTACCTTCTTGTCTGAACCCGAGGCAGCACCACCGACGAAACCGGTGGTGTATTCACCGGTTCCAACCTGTCAATGTGTAAGCTTTAACCATCGTACTATATAGATAAGAAGAAACATACCATCAAAACACTTGGAGCCATTTTGAAGAAGTTGACTCGATATCGTTAACAACAAGAAACCGTTTCAATTCAGGCAATGAACGACACAGAAGAGAAGAAGAAAGGATGGAGGGCGCATTGCGATTGAAAATATTTTGTACCCCGGTAGCTCCCCGCGATTTGATGATGACAAGAGGAATTATCCGCTGTTCAATAGCCGACAGTCACCTGATTTCGCCCAGATATATCATGTTCTGCTTTTATATCTATTCCTGACTTCTTAATTCTATGTAGAATACCATTTTCATTCTCTGGTACAGTCAAAAAATGTATTCACCCTCGATATGCACCGTGCTACATACTGCACTCGAATATTTGCAGTCGGTATTTGAATGACAAAACAGGAAACCAGATGAGGGGTATTCCCGGGCAAGCTCTGATTGGCCAACTATCAATAGCCGACCCCATAAATGACAAGCGCTGAGTGGGGAGCCGATCGGCTAAATACGTCCCCGGAAAAAGGGAACATTCACCCTCACTACGTATAGTCTGTCATACATCTGTGAAATGTCACAAGTCCAGGAACTTGCAGCGTTCTTTAACGTGTGTAAAGCCGGTTGGAACCAAGGCATAGCCAGCGCCTAGAAGTGGGACGACGGTTCAACCAGATCGAGTCTTGGGACTCATTCCACCTGCAAGATACATACTTGGTCCGAGATGCAGATGATGAATCGATAGTAAACACCTTTACCGCGCTGGGCCCAGAACAGTGGCCGCAAGTGACGAATACCTGCGTATACAATCGAATACAAGGCACCCATAAACTGATCATAGTCGAATTAACCGCGGGGCTATGCGACATAAAACCATTATGATATACAATCGATAAAGAGAGGTGATGTGTTCCAGTGACAAGTTCCTCTCGTACATGATTAATGCTAGAAGAACTGTCATGGTCAGACATGAAACATCGAACATGTCTTTATCCCAAGCTGCTGTCAGTGTAGCCTAAGCCCCAACGAAGTCGTCTATCAGTACGCTCGCCTCTACACCACTGGCCGATTACGGCGAATAGAAGTCAAGTTCTTCATTGCATGCTGTCTTTTGGTAAATATCATGATCAGCTTTGTGAGACTGGACGAAGGGTTCGCGTAGTTACACATATGCGGTCGTTCGGGCTACTTATTGAAGGCATAGTTACTTTCTCAGGATTATATAGTTGCTAGGGCTATAGCAGCGCAAAAAGCAGCACAACTTTGAAGCACAACAGGCCGTTCATGGCCTTGAACGCTCGTTGTAGGGTTTCTGGATTCCCGTTTGCACTGGACATTTTGAGCCCCGGTTTACATATTAGTATCATGGTAAACTCATGGCTGAGAAGAGGTGCCTTGCTGAAGTCGATGCCGGCAAAGGTCATTGAGAAAATATCTAAGCCAAAAGAAACAACAGAGCCGGCACGGGTAATCTATACATATCCCAACAAGGTCTTTTGCGCGATCATCTCAAAGAAAGCATTTGTGCATTACGAGCATGCCACATCAACAGTCACACAGCTTTCACCAGCCTAAAGAAAACTTCATATTCATTGTTTGATTTCATGATTATAAGCACCAACAAAAATTCCTCGGAATCCTTGATGAACGATGTCAGTCACATAGCTAGATTCGCAAAATCAACAATCATTAATCGCCTTACAACATAGCCCCGAAGATAAGGTTGACGAATGACACTAACATGCTGAAGTAAGGAAGAAGGCTAAACTCGTGTTTTTCATTTCGCTTTTATTTACATAGCGAAGTCGTGGTGTACGAGTCCTGATTGACGGGCTGGTGGAATACCTGTTGTGCTATCCCCAGACCATGACTTGAAGAATCAATAAATCAATCATGGCCTCTGCTTTACTTTTGATGCTTGAGCACTATGTTCTAGGAACTAAAAATGGCAGTAGTACCGATCTCATCATTCTCATTCGATCAATGAGAAAAGAGTTTGTAACCTGAAAGTATAACATGTTTCCTGGCAAGGTGATCCAAGGCGCTATTTGACACATAGGAAAGCCTAACAACCCTCATACTCCACCATCTTCTCAAATGCCACCCCCGCCATCTCCCGATACTTCCCCTGAAACCTCTCATCCCCAGCAACAAACTCAAACTGCTTCTTCCACTCTCTCCATCTCTCCATACTCCACATCTCCCGCGGACTCAAACCAGGAACCTTTTCTCCAACCTTCTTGCACTGTTCATAGACATACCGCCCCTCATCCGGGTATATAATCCACTGCGCTGCGCCGATGAGGTAGTTTCCGATTTTGTTCGGTCCGTCGAGGGGGCGTTTCTTGAGGTCTGGGTATTCGCGGCTCCAGGGGAGGAGGTGTTCTAAGGAGCAGAGGAAGTCGCAGTTGATTAGGTTGAGGGTTGTTAGGCGGGCGATGCTGCTTTGCCAGTTGCGCCAGCGGAGGGGGGGTTGGCACGCTAGTATTCATTATTCAGTGAGCAGAGATTCATGTAATTGAAAGGTTAAGAAAGACATGACATACCTGATTCCTCAACACGGAAAATCTCCGCTAACCACCCAAAGCTCTCAAACGCCCACAACGTATTCGTATGGTAAGGCTCATCCGAACCCTCCTCCGGCGGAACACCATCCGGCACCTCCCGCCTCGGCAAGTCCCTCAGCACTACCAGAAAATCAATAATCCGCTCCTGACCCGGATGGTACGGCGGGCAAGCAGAGCACAATCGCGCAATCCACTGGATAAGCTCTTCAAGATTCCCGCTTGGATTCGGTGCGATCGCGCGCGTGCTCGGAATGCCCTGCTCCTCTTCTTCGGGGGTGAGGTTTCGAGGGTCGGGGCGTTTTAGCAATTCTTGGAGTTTTCGGTAGGCCTTTTGCACGACGGCCGTGTTGAATTCGATAGCTGCGTCGTGGGGGGTTACATCGCCGTTAACCAAGGCTTCGAGTCGTTTCTTGCCATGGATTACTTCTTCGGTGTCCCAGTGTTCGATCAGTTTGAAGGGGAGGGGCTTTTGCTCGAATTCTTCGGAGTATTCGGGATTCATTGTTTGCAATTGTGACTTTGGAATAGATGTGCAAAGGATGATGGGGAGATGTTCTGGTACGGCGGACTAGTAGCCATATTTACAATGCCTTGGCCGCCACTGATCGTCGCTTATCAGCCTTGTCCGTCTTCGGCCTGTCGATCACTACAAGGCTCTTTCTCCATCTACTTACTGTATGTAGGGCATATTCAGACCTAGACACTGCAACGAACTAATTAAACCAAGGCATACAGCAATGAAAATCAACTGGCAGCCCCCAATTCCTTCAACCAGAGGCATATCCCAAAACAGCCTTACAGAATGGCTATATCAAGCAGCTTCTGTCCCTCAGAAGGACAATACAACAACAGCGATCAATCATTAATCAATCCAGTCAATCAAGCGATCAGTCAGTCAATCCAATTGATCAAGCAAACTTTCTATCTTGATCAATTCAAAAGTCATCATCTCATTTCACCGATTCCTTCTCTTCGTCTTTGAACCACATCCCGTGAATATACAACCAAACCACCAAAATGCGTCTCATCCAAGCCTTCCTCTACCTCGCCCTCCTCGTCGCAGCTCCCATCTTCGCAGCTCCAGCAAAAGGCAAACCAGCCGTCAACACCGCCCCTGTAAGTTATACCCTTCTCCCCCCTTCTTCAGCAGTGACTAGAAACACCCAAAGTTAACGCATAACCAGACAACCGTAACCTGCAAGCCCACCAAAAACCTCTCCACCACAAAAACCTTCAAAGTAAACATCGCGCGCGCCAAAGAGCAAATGCAAAAAGCCGGCCTCAACACCGGTACATCCGGCGACCCGCACGTCTACGGGAACGTGGACAAGTTGCACTGGGGCGTGGGCGCGTGCGACAAGCCCTCTGCGCATCTGCTCGAGTATCCTATTTACTGGGACGGGGAGAAGGTGGAGTGGAAGAAGAATGAGTATACGCTGATGCAGGGGAAGACGCCGATAAGGGTTGTTTATGCGAATGCGAATGGGGTGCCTGTTTATTGTGGGGTTATGACGCATTCGAAGGTGACGGATGAGCATAAGGGGGAGGAGTTTTTTGTTAAGTGTGAGTGATTGGTTGTTTGTGTATTTGTCTGTGTATAAGTGTTGAGGCGTTTCTGAGTATTTGCATTATGGGAGTTTGGAGTTTTTGGGGTCTAGAACAAGACATCGTTTTATATGGGAATTGAATAATCAGTCGGAATCCTCGCAAGGGCTTATGATCACTCAATTAGTAGTCCTCCTCCAATAATGGCCTGGTTTCTTCAGGCAGGCCATATAATTACACTGTACACGGCTATCGTCTGTATTCTCATTGACAGGCAAGAAGAAATCCCAAACTCCAAAATGCAATCATCAATATACGAGAAGTAAAAAGAAACAGGTAAAGAAATAAATAAGGACAGTAGAATATCTGTACATAAATAAAGGAATCAGGGTATCCATAAGAAAAGAAAAGAAGTACAAGAATCGCAATGTATAGACATTACACATAGTAAGCGACGGCCGGACGCTCGCCAGGGATCTATAAGTGATTCCCCGCGAGCACAGTCGGATAGATCACTATTGATCCTCCAGAGACTGTCCCGGGAACGGCAACCGATGTCAGCACCGGCGCAACAGCACATGGGCATAACCAAGTGCTTCTCCGGGAGGGACAGTCGGGGCGCAGGGATAGCCTACCCTGCTCCAGTAGAGATGGGTATCTCTAGAATTCAGCACTAAGGCTGGTACAGAACAAGTATTGCTAAAATCAATGGCCCAGCAAACTAATATCACAAACTTTCTGTAAACCGACTCCCACGACTCCCGTCGAAGCTTGGATGGCTTCGACCTAACATATCAGGTCGTTGCGGAATAGGTGATAGCGAACTATGTGATTGGCGGGGTATATTTATCGGGGCACTGACAGACGACATGCTGGCGGTACTTGTAACGGGTGTCCGGGCTGGTGATGCACGCATATACATAACTGAATCGTTCTCTTCGGCTTCCCGAGTGTAGCTCACATCCAACGGCATGCCGAATGGTGTCGATGGCGGAGGCTGTGTTGAAGGTGATCGTGGATTCACCGGCGACCCAGGAGCTGCCGACGTCATGCTCGGTTCCGATAGCGTTGGTGACCCGGTGTCGTATCCGCCTCCAAAACCGTCGCCGCCATGCGTTAGCACGGATGGGATCTTTCTGCCAGAGATCTTCTGGAACCCCCGCTCGCTACCATTAGATACGAGTGTACTGTCGGTATTCGTGGTCATGGTGGACTGTCTCCATCGTTTCATAAATGCCGGCGCAAAGTACGTTGCCGTCAAGAGCGAATCAGGACGCGACGCCATTCCAGCAGATCCACCACCACCAGCCATATTCCCTCCAGCCCCGGCTCCTGCTCTTTCTGTCGACGGGAGAGCCTGCTGAGATTTGCGCATGCTTGCTCTGCGCTTCAAGAAGAAGAGAGCAAGGACCACCAGCATCACCGCACCAGCCACACTACCAACTACACCACCCACGATCTTTCCCGTCGTAACAGGACCAGGCGCACCAGAGGAGTTTTGATTCGGGTCGGTATCGGTCGATGTAGGGTTTTGCCCGCTGCCTGTCTGTGTAGACCCTCCTCCACCTCCGTAACCACCGCCAACCCAGCCACTGTAACTGGATGAATCGGAACTGGTGGTACTGGACGATGTCGATGTTGAAGAGCTGAATGATGAGGAAAAGGACGAGCTGGTGGACAAAGTGGAAGAGGTGGTTTTCGTGCTCGACCTAGTAACAAGACTCGCACTCGTGGTTGAGGATAAAGAACTGGAAAGGTCTGATGCCGAAGGACTGGAGGTAGGAGTTAAAGAAGTCGATGACGGGGTAGGCTGTGACGAATTGATCAACGGACGGGAGGTCATAGCGGAGGAGTAAGTCGATGACGCAGCGGAGGCTATCGACTGCGAGCTACCGGTTAAACTGGGCGTATCTGCCGTGGGAGATGTGTATCCCGGAAACGCAGTAACGGATCCATCGAACCATGCATGAGACGAGGCGAATGTCACCTCTGCTGACTGCGTGGAAGTATAAGATTCATCATCGATCACATTCACCACTGTAGCCCACACTTTTGCCAAATCCTCAGAGCTGGCTATGTCCTGCCGCTTATCGAGTACCGGAACCACCTCATGCCCAGTGCCGTGTCTTGTATGATGATGCGATCCGCAGTCAGAGCCCGAGCCGGTAGAGACTGGGTGGTGGGCGATAACAGGAGTGCTATGAGCCGCCACGCGGCTCCGCTTCTTCATCAACCTGGTCAGTCGAGGATTCCTACCAATTCCATGATGGGCCATTCTGTTAACCGCCTCTTGGTACCAAGTATATCCGGTGCTGAATATAGCCGAAAACTCTCAACTGAATCGGCCCAATAAACAATGTCCAAGCAATTGAAAGGTAGAGTAAAGATAGTCAAAAGTGTCTGCCTGCACGACACTCAGGGAATGTCCAAACGAAGATGGAATAATGAGCGATAAACGGATATTTCCGTACTGGTCGTGATAGTGTCGGAACGAATGTAGAGCGAACGCGTAGCGTAGCGAGAGAACCACGAGATTGACGTAGATGGCTGATGTCAGAAACGAGCGACCAATTCGGTAGTATATCGAGCGAAGACAAAGAAGTCGCTTATCCACGGGCGAATCTCAATGCGAATGAACCAAGGAGCGGACGTCAACCGACACTCAACAGCCGACTAAATCGAGTAACGAATGGTTAAAAGAACGAGGGCATCGAAATCGATCAAATAAGATACTAAAAGCCAAATGACCGGATTAGCCCGCAACTCAATTATATCCCATAAAATCATAAAACCCATCAAACCTACCGTAAACGAATGAAAGAAGAGAAACCGAAAAGAACCCGCAAAAAAAAGGAAAACTGTCCTGTCTTTTTCCCTTTCCCAACTACACTAATCCATCCTGGTGACGATCACACGATATTCTCGAAGCAATTGCGAAAAGGGAAAGAATAAAAAAAAAAAAAAAAAAAAAAAAAGTAAATATCAACGGGCGTAACTGTGACGCGCAATTTGACTTGTCTCTTTCCTTTTCCGCCCTCCACTTTGTCTCCTTATGTGCAGCTCGAGGATCCACGCTGGTTCCTGGTTCCGGACCGGAGAATTAATTGGCGAGATTAGGGTACCGATGCTCGACGCTTTATTTTTGTAGATGGTCGACTGAAGAGGGATTCGTTCGTCTCGGTATAGCTCTGTCCATAAGTGAACGGATTGGATGTTCGTCGTACTCGATACTCGATATTCTTGTTGTTGTTGTTGTTGTTGTTGTTGTTGTTGTTGTGTTCCTCACTCTCCGTACGGGGGTCGTTGGCCCACTTTTTCCACACCGGGTCAGACAACGGGTCGACCTCCGAATCGAATCGAATTGAATGAAGACAGGACGAAAGAAAATCAAAAGAAGGAAAGAAAGAAGGAAAGAAAGAAGGAAAGAAAGAAGGAAAGAAGGGAGGGGGAAAGAAACGAGAGACGTGGGAGAGACAGGTAAGAGGGAGGTGAAAGAAGAGAAGAGGAGATGAGCCGCGTCGAGGAAATGGAAATCCGTTAACGGTGCTAGTCCCCGTCACTAGTCCCCATATAGTCTAGCTGCGGGCAGGTTGGATTAAAAATAAATACAGGGCAGTAATTACAGAGTCAGTAGTAATAATAAGCCAAGTCAGGTCCATGGTTCAGTCTTTCAAGGATAAGCTACCACTGAGAGGATATTTGCTTGTATATGCACATCTAATTTCACATTCAGTTTCTGTACTCCATACATAACATACAAAGACATACAATACAATACCGTAAGTGCAAGAAAGAAAAGAAATAAACAGGGTCTGGCCAATATCAGACCCGGTCGTCAGTGCGTCAAGTCGGCAACACTAGTCCCCATCCAGACTAGCTCCATACACTAGTTCCGCCATGGTGGGTCTGAATGCGAGATGCGAGTGGCTGCAGTTTAATTAATGGCACGGTATTGATTACCGCAATATTACAACGTACAGGCTGTGACAGTACTTTGTCCGATGCAATTGCAACGAGCAAGGGACCAGCCAGAACTATTGAAAACATCAAGAAAAAAGGAACCAGGTATCTGTCAGATTCAGGGGAGATCAAATCAGTTCCATGTTCAGAGGTTTGTCGCGTTGGTGGTTTGTTGTTCAGGTCTTCTCCTTTCCCCTGATAACAACTAAAACTCTAAGAGCAATTTAGTCTGTCGCAAAGAGATATGCTCGTTTAAATACTCGTATATTATGCCACTGGGTCTACAATCTACAAATATATTAATCCTATTTATATCCCGTCATGATCGGATCGCGTGGGCCGAGAAAAAGAATGGAAGATTGGAAGAATGGAAGCCCGATGGAAAATTCTTGAATTTACATCTCAAGTTGGAGAATACAACACCACAAGCCAAAACCATTCATTCACAGCAATACCAACCACCCAGTCTTCAGAATCTGTACACAAAACAATTCTCGATGCATACGTAGAAATATCAGCACGAGCGTACGCCTCACCGAATTGATTCCCCCTCGGTTTTACCCCTACCAAAACAAAACAGGGAGGCTGTGGGTTTGTAGAAGCAATACAAAATCGGTGCATTTCGCAGGAGGAGGGGTATTAAAATAAAAGGGACACACATGTCTCGCTGTCACTCATAACTTAAAAGGTCTCCAACTCATCAGCGGGCACTTCATCTTCGGCGGGAATTTCAAAACCCTCCTGCGTTAACCGGTCAGTGTCTTTTTCGAGGTCCTGGTGTTGAGTAGTACTGGGTTATCGCTTCATACCTCTGTCGAGTAGAGGATGCCCTGGATGTGCTTGACCAGGGAGTCATCGTCCTTCTCCAAGTCCGGATCGGCCTCGATAGCGCTCTGCAACAACAGCTCAATATCGCGAAGCTTAGCAAAGTAAAAGTCTCTCTCCTTCTCCAAACCTCCAATTGCTTCCTTCTGGGTCGCAACCTCCTGTTGCAAAGCGGCAGTGGCCGCACTGCTGGCTCCAGCAGCAGCAACGCGTGGGCGGACAGCAGCAGCAGCAGCAGTAGGAGTCACACCCCGACGGGCAGAGCTTTGCGAAGTCGCACCAGAACGAGAGCCGGCGGAGGCGGGAGGGGCACCAGAAGCCTTGCGACGAGCCACAGCATCATAGTCACCACCAGGGTAGTGCTGGTCCCAGTATCTCTTTGTCCACTGAAGGAACTCGAGGTTGTCTTGCATACGGCATTTCGAGAGTTGCTGGACGGGAATCGGCTTGTCGACTTGGTGCTTTCCGAAAACATCTAAAGTCGCACAGTTTAGATCCATGTGTTTTAAAGAAAGCAAACCGACAGATCAGACGACAACGTACTTTGAAGAATCTTGAAGTTCTGCAGGTAGGCGTATTCAGAGTTGACATTGAACTTAACACGCGACATGGGAACGTCCACTATAAGATGCCAACCCGTCAGTAAGCCGTTGAAGCATTAGACTACACCCACACGAGATCAGATCCACTCACTGAATATCGAGTCAAAGATCTGACATAGCGCAGCACTGTTGAAAGCCACCAAGTCAGTCCCTTGTCACCTCCAGACGACCCCCAGAAAATATTCTCATCACACTCCGCCTCACAGCCATGCTCAAATGTAAATTCCAACAGTGTTTCGCCATCCAGGACAAACGCGTATGTTCAGAAAGGGGGGGGAGAAGAAGCGCTTTTTTATCCGTACCCAGTTCCGCATTGCTCGATCTTGGTAATGTTCAGCTGCAACAAGCTGTTGATCCATCCAAGCAGTTCTTGTCTGCAATTGAAAGACCTCACAGTCAGTAAAGAAGCACAAGAGCAATTATCTCCATGTTTTCCTGGGTCAAATCTCACCTGGATTCACCCATCTTGTCGGTGGTATTTGTGGTGGTGGTGGGGTAAAAGCGGTGTCTAATCCAATCTTCACGGATACAAGAGTTCGCGGAGGAGAGAGAAAAGTAGTCGGATAGAGCGGGATGAAAAGAAAAGAATCGGCAGCAGTCAGTGAAACCCAGAAGGATTTGTTGACGGTTTTGCGACAGGGAGGAAAGATCGCAGTTGAGGATTGTTTTGCTGCGTCGCCAAAACCCACGGGTCGCCCAGGCGCTAAGTCCGACCCAGCCAATCAGAGGACTCGGTGCCTCTTGTCTGCCAGCCTGGCTGATGCCTTGAGGCCTGAGGTATTTATGCAAAATCGGGTAGAAATCGATAGATCGGCATACATAATAACAACGGTCTCCATCAGTTGCTTTTAGATACTGTACAGAGTCTAATCAGTAAACTCAAGAAGAATAAGCAATAAAATATACACAAATCTATCAATCGCTCGCCCTATATACCCAAAATGTATCGTCGCTCTAAAAAAACAAGATAAAAGGCCAAACCCCCTAAAGCGTGACTCCAAACCAGCAAGCAATGATGTAAATAAAGGCAAATCGAAAAAAAGAAGAAAGAATAATGAAGAGATGCACGAGGCACACAGAAGTCAGATCACTCTTCGAGCAAGTCAATGCCATCCAATCCATACCCAAAGTCCATGATAACGGCCCGGGAATCCTGACTGGTAGCAACAACACGACGATAATCCGATTTCACGCTGAGCATCCAGCTAGTCGTCCAGCCTGGCAAGTCAATGGACAACTCACCGGACTGGATATCAAAGACCTTGACGCTCATGTCGTAGCTGCCACTCACGATACGCTGGTTCACACTGTCCAGATGCAAAGAGCGGACCAGGCCAACATGGCCCTTGAGCTCGTTGACCATCTCGCCAGAGTTGGCGTCGAATTGGTAGATCACCTGGTCATTTCCACCGGTGAGGATAGTCCGAGCATCATCGCTGAATTCAACGCACGCCAACCCCCGATCTTTGCTGGGGAACTCTTTTACGCAAAGACCAGAGGCAATGTTCCATAACTTCGCGACCCCATCGCCGCTGGCAGATACGACGAGGTCCCCTCGTAATTGTACCGCGTTCACTGGACCACGATGGCCTAGTAGCTTCTTCACGAGAGCTCCGGTATGTCGATCCCAAACACAGATCGTGGTATCCTTCGAACAGGAAACGATATAGCGATCGTCAAAGCAGACATCCAACACGCCAGCCCGGTGGCCCTCTAGGCGACGGATCGGCTTATAATCGTTCTTAATACCCCACACAATGCATGTATAATCGGACGACCCAGTGACCATGATCTCATCGTCGAACTGAAGACACAGAATGGAAGCGCTATGGTAATCCGATGGTTGTTCCATGGGGGTGACGATTCCAGCAGAGGCGGTTGACGGTGGACAGATAGTGAGAAACGGAGACTTGCCCGCTGACTGTTGGATAGGGTTGTTCACGGGGCCAATACCAGGAACGTCTCCTGGCGGAGGGCCAATGATTTTCAAACACGGCCAAGGATAGTGAGCATCCCATACGCGAATAGTGCGGTCGCGGGAACCAGTGATAATTTTGTTCCTGCATGGAGTCAGACGATCACTGCATGCAACTGCAAGAGGCGCAGGGAAGGAAAGGTGTGGGGGTGGAATGTGGAAACAGAAGAAAGATGCAGAAAAACATACTCATCAAACTGCGCACAATAAACACTGTCTTTGTGCCCATGTAAATAAATTGCGGCGGCCTTGCCCTCCTTCCACCGATGTTCTAGTGCACGTCGGACAAGGAACATTCTCTTCCAATCTTGATTTGGCAGGGTCTTCCCAAGACCAGCCGACTGTTTCTTCTTGGACGAAGTGATACTGGGCCGACGGTGTGTGTAGGCGCGACGGAAAACATGTCTCCAAACATGTCGTGAGACGGCCTGCTCATTCCAAGCACGAGAAACTAACTCCGCCTGCATGAGCGACTTCGGGTCAAGATACGACAGGACTTGCGATGTGATCTCCGAGGGCAAATGTCGCACGGGATCGAGACGTACAACCGCCAATTCCGTCTCGGAACCATCTGCGCGATCGCGCAAATCGATACCGATGCCGCTCTCCGAGTCCAGTGTGATTTTTGCATCCCGTGATTTGACAGCATCGCGCTCCACCCTTGCCGTTTCATTCTGAGCGGCGGCCGCCGCGCGGGCCGCCGAGCCTGCGCCCATGTCATTGGGGAGGATCGGTGGTTCGAGTCCATGACCGGGGATCGGGGCAGGGACAGATGCGGTCGGGGCGTAGAAAATATGCAAAGCGGAGACACTGTTGAGTGATGGTCGACGATTGATGCTGTACTTGAAAGACGAATTCCTCGGCCGGGCATCCCAGCTGCCGCTCGAGAAGTGATACGATCGACCGTCGTTGTCGATATGTGCGTCGTCAAGTTGCGATTGTAGTGTTTGTTTGGACGACTTGTTGCGGATGGTGACAGACAAACGACGGCCCAGGGCGCGCAATCCATCCACGGGGTGGCGCAGATTGGAAAAGCTTCTCGAGGGCCGACGACGTGGAACTGCCTCTGCAGATTGACTTGTATCATCCGGCACCTGGTCCTCCTCCTGGCTATGGCACTCCTCCGCAAAAGCCAGCCCGTTCCATTCCTGATGTTCCAAGCTCGGTGGCAGGGCACCGGAAGTCGTGGCCGTCCGGGGTCGGGGTCTGAACGAGGCGGAGGGGCGTCGTCGGGGAGGAGCAATTGTAGCGGCGTCTCGGGAAGTCATGTCGTCGTGATGCGATAAGAATGAAAGCAATAAGTATGCAAATGTGAATAGACCGGTTATGGACGGAATGCAAGCGATCGAGAGGTATCGGGGGGCGAGGTCGGAGGCGAGCTGATCAAACGGAGGTCGGAGAATAAATAACAATGGGACGGCGTCTTCGCTACCTTTTCTCCCTCGTTTGGTCTAGCCGGCACGTTCTGGTTCCTAGAAAGGGAGAAATAGGAGCTGTCGTTGAAGGAGCTGAGCTGAGCTGAGGCCGGTGGCTGGATAGGAGGCAAAGGACGGGACGCGACAAACCGAATGCAGAACAAGCAAGTAGTTGAAGAAGCGACTGTACAGAATATGGAAAAGAAAGAATAATAAACAAAACCAAGGAATGCTAACAAAGCAAAAGAACAACGCTAAACAACGGCTGTCAGAGCAACTTGTAGTAGTGGTTAAGGAGAGCGACAAGAGAGTCCTGAATCTGATAGATCGCGGGCGGTGGACCATCGGAAATGATCAGTGATAGACTCTCGATTCTCTCTCGCTTCGCTTTTCCTTTGCTGTAGTTGTTAGAGTATTTGCAAGAGGTATATGTACAAGTGCTCAAGTGCTCAGTCCAGAGGGGGGCGGCAAAATAGTGATCATAATTCCAAGAGGCAAAAAGCCAATTCGCCAATTCGGAACCAGATCTCTTTGCGCCCCTGGACAACCATTTCCCGGGTCAAGAAAAGTCTAAAACAGCCGTGAATAAAGACGGGAATTCAGGCTTCATAAGATCCATGGAACTGTTGGTTATGGTTGCTGGAGAACTTTCTCCTTTCTCGGGACTCCGAATACGAGGGACCTTTTCGGAGAGACTTGGACAGACCGGAGGGCAGCAGAGCAGTGAAGATGTCAATAGCAATTGACAGGATAGCAGGTTCTAGTCTATAGCAAATAATCTGCAGGCTCACTGCATAATCCCGGCTGCTCTTATCGATCAACAAATGTTTTGCAGCATCTCCACCGCTTCCGATTACCCCGTGGGGATGCATCCCGATCTATGACATGCGAACATACATCGACGAATACAAGTATTCTTTAGGGAAGTAGAAAGATCATGTTGGGATGGGTAATCAATTACTGAGAACAAGTAAACTTTTCTACTTGGAAAAGTGAATTATCTCTGCGGTAGTGCTGGAGATATATATCTAGGTGTGGGATATGGAGGATGTGTATGGAGATGTATATGTTTACGACCCTCTTTTCTCTGAACTGACTACAAATCAGCCTTATCAAACAAGATGAACTAATGCAGAACAACACAGCCACCTCCGGACAATACTTAAGGCATCCATTCCTCTTACCATAACTAACCTCTATATGTCTACCAGCATCCATAACAACTTCACATCAACATGACCCTAACCAAAGACGACCAACTCCTCCAAGCCGCCTCAACCGGCAACAACCACCACCCCACCACCCTCCTAACCACGCACACCCCCTCCCCAGCCCTCATCCAACAAATGCTCACCGAAGCAATCTACCCAAACGCCCACCTCCCCATCCTAACAACCCTCTTCACCCACTTTCCTCAAGCCCCCATTTCCGAAGAACCAATCCGCTCCTCCTGCTACCAAGGCTCAATCCCCATATCCTCTGCACTCGCTGCCCAAGACCCGCATACCTACACAGGAAGCTTCGACGACGAAAAAGGAACGCCGATGGTCCTCGCGGTGCAGAGTCGGCAGTCGTACGAGTTTCTGTCGTTTTTGTTGGCGAACGGGGCGGATCCGTATTTGCATCATGGAAGGTTTGCACCGATTTTTCCGGCGGCTGTTATTATATATCGGGGAGCTTCGGATGCGGTTGCTGCGTTGGGGGATTGGAAGGTTGATTTGAGGGGGAGGAATTTGCTAGTGAGTGCTGTTGGGCGTGGATATGGGGGGTTGGCGAGGTATTTGTTGGGGCGGGGGGTTAGGCCGGAGAATGATATAGCAGAGGATAACGAGAGTACCACGCCGGTTTTACATTTGGCGGCGAGGGATGGTGATGTTGATATGGTGAGACTTCTTTTGGAGTATGGGGTGGCGGATATCAAGGATGATAAAGGTACGACAGCAGTTGAAGTTGCTGAGGAAATGCAGTACTTGCACATTGCACAGTTGCTAAGAGCATAGAATAGGATAGGGGATAGGGTATCCATAGAAAGACACGAGAGCCATAAAATCAATATCCATTCTGTACCATAAGTAAATAACACAGATCAGACCGTCTATGCAACATCAGGCAAGCTTTTCTCCACCTCCATAGCCTCCTTAATCCCATCCTTCACAGCCTTAACATGCTCCTCACTCAACCGTCCCAACGGCCTCCGCGCAACCCCCCCATACCCATAATAACTCTGCAACGCACTCTTAGTCCCCGGGATAGCAGTCTTGGTCAACACCCACTCCGCCTGACTCAACAGCCCCTGCGCCTCCACAGCCTCAGAAATCCGACCCTGGCTCCAGAGATTGAACACATGCACACAGAGACGAGGAATCACGTTCGCTCCACCGGCAAGCGTAGCAGAACCACCAGAGACAAGAGTCTGGAGGGTGAAATCGGCCATACCACCGAAGGTCACGTAGCGGTGGTTCTCAGCGGTCTTAGTAGAACGACGCTGTCTATCCGCGACAAGCGGGGAAGAAGCAGTAATCGCATCAAGAGCATGCGAGACACGGGTTAATTTACCCGTATTCGCACAAGTAAACTTCGTCCCGACAACATTAGGGTGCTGCGAGATCCGGATAACAAGATCCGAATCCATATCAACTCCCGCAACAGCACCGGGGTAATTATACAAAATAACCGGCACCGGCGAACCATCCGCAACAGCCGTGAAAAATTCATACAGCGCCTGGTCACCCCCCGTCGCAGCCTTGTAGTAACTAGGCGGGAGGATCAGGACATACTCAGCGCCTGCTTCTGCGGATTCTTTGCAGAGTTCGATGGTACCACGGACGCTTTGTTCAGTGGCTCCTGCGATGACGGGGACATTTTGGAAGCCGGCGTCGATGAGCGTGGAGCGGGTTTCGTGGATGACGGTTTTGCGCTCTGCGCGGGTGAGGTGCACGGCTTCGCCGTTGGAGCCCTGGACTACTATACCGGCGAGGCCGGCTTTGGCGAGGCGGATGGCGTGTTGGCGGATGGTTGGGATGTCGAGGTCTTCAGTGTCGGGGTGGAAGAAGGTTGGGGTTGGTGCGTAGGCACCTGGGCGGAGGGGGGTGGGAGACATGATGTTCTGTTTGTGTCTGAAGTCTTCTTACTGATTGAGGTGCTTGTAAATAGATGAGAAAGTTGTAGTGACAGATAACTGGCGCTACTTATATACCCGTCCAGAGCTGTCATATACCGATCCAGGTCGGAGGTTCTCCGGCTTGCCGGTTGTTAGCCGGCATTGCATTTCCGTAGGTACATGCGAGCAATATTATGCTCTCTCTTGAACTTGTAGGTGCTTGGCATATCGTACTGTCACATGTCAAAATCACTTGTCTTGGTTCGAATATCTACTTCCGAGTTTGTATGTGAGGCATATTGTCATCTGTTTAGGGTTTTGCTCTCCGTCAATGAATATGATTAGTGCGCTATATCATAGAAATGATGATTAGTAGAAGACATTCTCATCAAATTCATCGCATCATTAAATCTCGCATGGTCGTTATCCAGATTGCACAGGCTCAAACAGAAGCAAGTTTCTTCCCCCACCACTCCTTCCACCTCACAACCCTCTCCTCCCTCCTCGCCTCCTCAGCCGCAAAAACAACCGCATGACTCCTAACTGCCTCTTCAAGCGTACACCCAACAAACCTCGCCTGCGCCTCCCCAACATCCCATCCCTGATTAACCACTGCATCAACAGCCTGCACAAAACTCCTCGCAAGCCCATAGTCCCCGCCCCCATGTGCCTTTTCCTCCTCTGGCGGTTGACGGGGAACTTCGATTATGGACTCGGACTGGATTGCAAAGTCGTAGATGGTGATTGTGCGGCTGTTGTAGGAAATTTCACCGTTGGTGCCGTAGACGCGGCCGCGGCGTTGGCATTGTTTTTCGGTGGGGGCGATCATGTGGAAGAGTGCTGTTTTGGCGTTCATTGGAGTGGCTGATGATGAAGAGGGTTCGTCATCCCAGCCGATGGTGACAACTTGGTCATCACAGACGTTGTTGTCGGATTCGTAGACGCAGCGGCCGTACCATGTTTTCGAGGCGATCTTGTCATCGCTGTCTGTGTCTTTGTTGTAGTCTTGTTGTAATCGGGACAGGAGAGCTTTGTCTGCTGCATCTGACCCGGAGGTACGGTAGGTATCTTCAATGTCTGGACAGACGATGTTCACCGGCCAGTCGATATCGCCGCGGGAGAGATGCATGCCACGGTAGATCTTGAGGGCGCTGTAGTTGCATTCACGCTCTGCCGGACAGGAAAGACAGTTCGTCGCAGCGCCAGCCTTCCGTGGTTTGCGACGGGGGTTGAACTGCGTCAATTTACCAGTGGACGTGATCGTGCGAGGATGGTGATATACCGACTTCGACGCAGAAGCAGGTGTCTCAGGCGGCGAACAAAGCAACCAAAGAATAAAATCAATATCATGACACGACTTGGTCAACAACGACCCGTCCCCATTAGCAGTCTCCCGTCGCCAATTCCCGCGGACATAACTATGCGAGAAGTGCCACCACCCAACAGGCTCACAGTGTTCAAGAGAGACAATATCCCCAATCACCCGATCGACGAGAAGCAGTTTGCGGAGGAGGATATTATGCGGACTGTAGCGTAGAACATGGCCGATAGAGAAGATGGTGTTTCTATCACCACCATCTGTAGTAGGTTTGAGCGAGTGGTAGACAGATAGACAATCTTGAAGTGACAGCGCCAACGGCTTCTCGCAGAGGATATGCAGATCTTTGAATTGCGAAACGGCATGGAGGATCTCAATGTGCTGATCATCCAGAGTGCAGATGAAGACCCCGTCGACCCCCTCAGCTGTATTACTGCCGTTGCGCCTCTTCACCTCCCACTTCACCCACCCCCTCCAATCCTCGAATTCTTGTCCATCCTGCGGTTTCCCATCACCCCAGATAAAGTTGCGGCCGAATTCCCGTCGTTTGAAAGGGTGCAGTTCGGCGACGGCGTGGATGTGGCCGGTTGTTGCAGTTGTGACGGCCTGGCCGTAGGCGGTTCCGCGTGAGCCAGCCCCGAGGACGATAAATCGGACGGGTCTTGGTGATGGTGATATTGTGCTTGTGGATGGGGAGTGGTGACTTATGGGGGGTTGTGGTTCTTTCATTGTAGCAATGCGGGGGATGGGATAAGAGTGTCTGTGAAGAGAATGGCTTGATGATACAAAACGGGGGTATCAAGGAGTTGAAAGATCCTCGGAAGAAATGGCAGAGAGACGCTATTCATCTCCACAGAGCTTGTGTCCAGGTCATGGAGCTGTCAGTGCAACCAACCTGGGGAAGATGAAGAATGCCCCTCCCGTGATTGGTTGAGCCAATAACACAGATGGGGCTTCAAGATGGCACCAAAAGGGAAAGGTTTCTATCAACCATGGATGTTTCTATTTCGAATCCACTGGTCTGAAGAGCCTGTCGGACATAGTGCGAAATTATGCAATCCACAAAAGATACTGGCAATGGTACAGAAACGGTAGAGGAGCTTCAACTCTATTAATATTTAACATTTCTACAGATTATAATGTGCTTGTGATAAAGTTGAATGCTTATGAAACAACGGGCTGAAATCTCACGTAACCTCGTAACGATCAATGGACACGCATCAGCTTTAACCGCTTAGGTCTTGACATCAGGCTCCTCGCGGCCAATGTACTCCTTGAACTTGAGGAGACCCATGGCCAGAGCCACGTTGTCCTTCAGGTACTCCTGGGTAGGAGTGGCCACCTTGCTCCGGTCCTCCTCGTACTTCTCAATGTACAGACGGATGGTGGCTCCGCTGCTGCCAGTACCCGACAGACGGGTGACGATACGGCTGCCGTCGTCGAACTTGACGTACAGACCCTGGTTCTTGCTCACGCTGCCGTCCAGGTCAGTGTAGGCGAAGTTACCGGCATCGGTAACCTTGCGGCCAGAGACGGTGGAGCCTACGAACGAGTCCTGGCCGGCAAAGTCCGAAAGAGTGGCAATGACCTTGTTGGCCCCCTCACTGTCGACACCCTCGTAGTCGTACCGGGTGAAGTAGGTACGGCCATAGGTCTGCCAGAACTCGTTCTGAATCGAGGCGATGCTGGGAGTCTGGCCAGGGTTGCTCTTGGCAACGCCAGCGATGATGTTCAACCAGGCCACGATAGCCCACACACCATCCTTCTCACGGATGTGGTTGCTGCCGGTACCGAAACTCTCCTCACCGCAGATGGACATCTTCTTGTTGTCAAACAAGTTGCAGAAGAACTTCCAGCCGGTGGGGACCTCGTAGCTCTGGAGACCTTGGGCCTTGGCGACCAGGTCAACGGCACCCGAGGTGGGCATGGAGCGTGCAAGACCGTAGACGCCCTGCTTCTGGAACCAGGGAATGAGCTTGGCGTGGTGGGAAATGATAGCCAAGCTGTCACCGGGCGAGACGAAAGTGTTGGCACCGTAGATCATGTTACGGTCACCATCACCGTCACTGGCAGCACCAAAGTGGACGCTGTTCTTGTCGACAGCCTCCACAAGTTCGTGGGCGTAAACCAGGTTGGGGTCAGGGTGACCACCGCCAAAGTCCGACTTTGGCACGCAGTTCATGGTGCTGCTGCTCGGAAGTCCGAGCTCCTTGACGAAGATGTCGGTACCGTAGGGACCGGTCACACCGTGCATACCGTCGAAGAGGATCTTGAAGTCCTTGTGGCTGCTCAAGAACTCCTTAATCAGGTCGAAGTCGAAAATCTCCTTCAGCATAGTCACGTAGTCGGCGGTCGAGTGAACAATCTCAACCTCCAGAGGGCCATAGGTCTTGGTGCCGATGGCAGAGATATCAATGTTAGGGATGTCGGTAATGTTGTAAGAGGTCAAGGACTTGGAGGTCTCGTAGATCTTGTTGGTGACTGTCTCGGGTGCAGGTGCGCCATTGGCAAGGTTGTACTTGATACCAAAGTCGTTGTCGGGACCTAAGAACGAGAGCTATCAGTGATTTGTCTTCCCAAGCTGTCTAGATATAGCTCTCAACAACTCACCACCAGGGTTGTGACTGGCAGTCAACAGAATACCACCGGTAGCCTTCCGGACACGGATCAAGTTACTGGCAGCCGGGGTACTGAGGATGCCGTTCTGGCCGACGAGCAGCTTCTTGACACCGTAAGCGGCACCAATCTTTGCGATCTTCTGAATAACCTCGGGGTTGTAGTAACGGCCATCACCGGCGATAACGAGGGTGGCATCTTGAGCACCTTCGGGGATCGACAGGATGATGCTGGCCACGAAGGCTTCGGAGTAGTTGGCCTGTTGGAAGACCTTGACCTTCTTACGAAGACCGGAGCTGTAGAGAGAGAATCACAGGTTAGATGCGATGGAAATGAGGACGTATGTATTCGGAGCGCTGCAGACTTACGTTCCCGGCTTCTGGTCCTGGAAGGGCTGGATGGAAACGGTCTGGACCGACATAATGGCTTTGTTGACACTTGTGGAGATGGTACAGGGGAAGAGAAGGAAATAAAGTGTCGGCCACTGATTGTCACCGACAATTGATGTCAAACAACGAGAATAGAGAGAAAAAGAAGACAAGAAAACAGAAAGAAAGAGAAGAAGAATGGGAGATGAAAAAGAAGACAACTACGCTGTCGATTAGGCGGTGGGGATGGAATGGGAAGGAGGGGCAAGCGCGTCATAATTATTTGATGGCTCTATGGCCACGGCCGTCGTTGAGCTTCCGTTTCAATACGACTTATTACTGTGCTATAAAACATACCCAATTACACCCGTTTGCTTTCAGGGAATGTGTAGCCAAGCAGACACTGCAGTTCGACGCCGAGTGCTAGTATTTTCGCTCCAGAGGCTGCCCCGCGATCATCAATGCGACCACCATGACAACAAATCAAAGTCATTCCTATACAAAACCGCACAGGTTCAGTATTGCTACTTTCATGTACCTGTTGCAGACCACCCAATGCGATTGTGTTTGAGTTCCCGTCGTGATGGTTGAAAGCTTGGGCGGGAGCTCTGGCTGGACCGAAATAGTCTGCAAATAGCCCGGTGGATAAGGTTTCCGATATTGCACAAAAAACCGAGACAGCAGAGCAACACAAAAACCGTTGGGAAGATTGCTCAACATCCTCTTAGTATGTAGCGAAAGGGTACGTACGAGGTTGCTGGGCAGGCGTGGACACAACATAATCACACCCCAAACAATCGCTCCCTGTAGAACTTCATCTCCTCAATACTCTCCAGTATATCATCCTTGGCCAAATGCACCTCCCTCTTAGGAGGCACCGCCTGCAACAACTCCTCGCTTCCCCACCGCCTAGCAGCCTCCTTGATCGCACTCACGTCTAGAATCCGATAATGCAACCACTCCAACACCGACGCATACGGGCCCCGTGCCAGAAACGCCTTATCCGCATGCACGCTATTGCCCGCCAGCACCGCCGTTCGCGGCTCCGGGACAAACTTCCGTATGTATGCGAGGAGGTCGGCGGCGGCCATGTCGGCGGTTGTTGTTGATGCGAGCACGGCAGCGGTCAGGCCGGTGCGGCCGTGGGTGTCGACGCACCATTGGGACATGGTGTCAAGGGTGGATTTGGGGTGGTGGATGACGGCTTCGAAGCCGGTGGGTTCGAGGATGCGGAGTTGGTGGTCTGTGATGAAGCAGCAAATTTGGAGGATGCTGTCGGTGTCGGAGTTAAGGCCAGTCATCTGTAGTGTGTGAATCCCGTGGTATAATTAGCGATTCTGTATCGATCGAGGGGCATGGGGAGGATGCAGCTGTATTCCAACCTCGCAGTCGATCCACACCAAGGGATCTGTAGAGCGTGCTAGTGTCATGTTGGCAATTGTTCGACAGAAATATGGTTTCCCAACAGTCTATTGCGCGATTCAGTGAGCTGGGTATAAAAGAGAGTTGAAAGAATTGAGAATCGCAAACCTGGCGGAGAAGGCCGATGTGCGCGAACCGAGGCGAGGACGCGATGCGGTAGAACCGACGTAGCATCCCCTCCGAAGGCACTCTCCAAACAGTTGAAAGAACAGAGAATTCTAACAAAATTCGACTTCACATCGGCACAGTTTGTTTTACCGTGAGTAGAAGTACGTAGGTGGAATTAACAGTCATCGCTGCGGAGAAATCATAGATGCGGCAGCTCCCACCTGCTCTATTGTCCACAAGTATAATAATGATCTTTTGCATTGAAGTAGAATCCTGGTTCATTTCATCGTTCCCGTCGTCATCTATACCTTTTCCCAGCTCTAGGGAGAAAGGACGAAAAAGAAAGCAAAAAAGGAAAAGCAAAAGAGCCATGTACGATAAACCCGAGTACATCATCGAACATGCCCAAGAGATTATACCCCATCCCGTTAAAAAGCCTGTTAGTCATGGAAACTTCTCCCGCTCCCCAACAATTATGCGATGGTATCACTTCCAAATTTCAAAGTGCGGTCATCATGGACATGGCAAGCGACATGCAGGACCAGCTCCAGCGAACAGCCCAGAAAAAAATAGGAATTCGAAGAATCGAATAAAAAACAGCAAAAGAAGAAGCCAATCACCGGGCTTTAAGCACCGGGGTTACGCCAGTCCATCAGTCATGAAAAAATAGCAGAAAATAGGCAGGAAATTCGTACACAATATCCAAAAAGCACTTTGTCATTGCACTCGTCTCAGCTAACCACCGAGAGGTTCAACAAGAATGGTGGAATCATAGCTCCTCTTCATCCTGTGGCTGAGAAGTAACCTGCTGCGGCCCAGGCTCCGGAGGCTTGAGAGACTCTCCGAAAGGAGTCGAAGTGGTACCGAGCCCTGTGGTGGCTGCCGCGCCAGAACTACCCAAAGCATCGGTGATATTTGTGGACAAGCCCGACCCGATCCGCTTTCTGATGGCATTTTCATCTGCTCCCGATACGCTGGCTCGTTGCTTCTTCAGAGGGCTTCCAGCTGTTTCGCCGTTTGCCGCGTTCATAGCCGGCTTGAATAGGTCTGATGCCGAAGTGGCTGTCGCAGATGCGGTTGGAGGACTCGTAGACAAACTTGACGAGGACTGCTTGGTCTCGCCGGAAGCGGAGGTGTCCGTAGCGTCGGCCTTGTTACTGCCAGATAAAGAAGCGGCAGAGTGTTGGCGTTTAAGCTAACATTTCATCAGTAACAGGAAATAGTAAGAAGCGCACGGGTTGTATATCCTCACCTTGATTTTGCGAACGCCCTCTGCAAGCTCGCCTCCGAATCTGGAATCGTCCGGAGAGAGATGATGGGTGTCCTCCTTGGTCTCTTCGTCATCGGCTTTCCCGAGGATCGAATCATCATCGTCATCATCGCTGTCCATATCATCATCGTTCTTTGAGGCCTTTTTGTCCTTTTTGTTCTTCCGTTTGTCCTGCTTGTTGTCCCGGAAATTGAGGAATCCCACAGTACCACCCGGCTTGAGCGGTCCAAGGTTGGAGAAATCGGGTTGGAGTGACCTCCTCTTGGTAGAACCTGGAGTTTCTTGTGCCTTGGGGTCTTTCAAGATGCCCATCTTTTGCAATTGCCCTGGAGGTTGATCAGTAAACATGGCTTCTGCGATTTTCGCGGCTGCGAAACAATGGACAAGGCCAAAGAAAAATGTCTAGAAACACGACAGTATAACTCACGTGATCCTCTGTACATGAAAGTAAAAGTGGCATAAGGCTTGTCTGTCGGGTCAATCCCCGTCACCGTTTGGGTGCTAATGGACTTCGGGTCCAATGACTTTGGTTTTGCAAAACTCGTAGTATGGTCAATGTCAGCGCCTGCGTCCCCGCCATTCCCTGCGGCCTCATCGTCGTCGTCATGTGCGTCGAACTGCGGGGAGTATTCGCCCCGTTTGATCTCCCCGGAGGCCAGGACACGGTAAAGTGCCACCTTAATCTGTCCGGCAGACTCGGGGATAGGATCATCGTCGGAATCGGAGGATACTTCATCGTCCGACACATCCTCCAGCGCATCGTTGCCGTATCGCATGATTCCTTTGTCCGCCTTCGATTGCATGTCGCCGTTCCCATCGGTTGAGTTTCGATTCTGACGACGCTTTTCGATCTTTTGTCTCCGGCGTTCAATTTTGGCGGCAGCGTCCTTTCCTTCCAGGTCCAAGCCATTGAGCCACCTCTCCAAACCAACTTCCCGGAATAAAAACTCCCGCTCTGCAAGGCCACCTCCCTCGGAATCGGGTACGCTGACCCAACGAGAATTGACCCAAGTCTCCTCGCCTCTGCGAAGTAGAGTGGCTACTTCTTCCTTCTGTCGACCGTCGAAATAGATATACGCCGCAATCGTTTCGTTCGGTGAGTTTGTCAGGGGTTGATAGGGGGCAACCATGTTGCTGTACTGTCCTCGCTCGCCTGTCTGGCCCGGGAGGCCTCCAACCACCTTTGCCTTGGGCGAGGGGTTCTCCGGTGTTGGTTTCGGTGTGGAATATGGAACATCCTGTCCGGAGCTGAGGAGGGTGATTGAGACTGCAAAGGTGGATTGCTCGGGTTTTCCAGTAGCGGAATCAGGAAACTTGGGAGGTGGCACCGGAATAAACCCAGCTATACGAGAGGCTCGCGATTGTCGTTGAATGGAATACTCCGGGATGGGACCATCCGGCGTGTGTATGCTGACAGCGAGACCTTTGAAGCATGGCATGACGGTGAGAAGATGTGACAGGTGAATACTCGTACTCCTTCGGCTCCGGCACCCAGGAAATGTATATGAAACCTTAAAAAATGGGAAGAAAGGTTGGGGGACGAGGTAAACCGAGCGCGTGTGCGAAATGTAGGTGGTGGGTTGTGGAGGCGGTCAGGATAGTAGTCTGTTGTGCTGTACCGGGGGTCGAATTGCAGCCCGCTGCTGCACCTCGAACAGTCGAAGAAAACGAGATCTGCAATATACAAGGGAAAGGGGGGCCTGGCTATCTATTTGTTTGATTAGTGCCATTCCAGAAGCACGAGGAATTCCGCCGGATAGAAGGGGGGTTTGGCTCTTTGGAGGGGGGCGGGAGGGGGGAGATCCACTTACCAAGCGGCGGTTAACACAAGAGGAACGAGGTGAGGTTAAAGAGTATTGGCTATCAACGGCATCAGTCGATAAGAGTGATGCAAGTAATACCGGTCAGACACTGATTCGACTTCTTGACGACGACTGGAACGTGGACAAGAACGACAAACAGCAATGCAAAGCGCGCATCGAGAGGGAAAACTGTTCTCCTGTTTGGGTGGTCAGTCAACTCCAGGGCCCGGGAATGCCCCACGTGACACACCTTAATCTTCACCCCTCGTTCCACGGCGCTGTCGGGATCGTGAATTGAATACGATAGATGGTAGATATGGGCTGTCGCGAACTACACGAAATACACGACTTCAGCCGCGGAATTTTGAAAGAATTTTCTATGACCGAAAGAATGAAGCGTTGAGAATGTCAGCTGGCACTATCAGGACAACCATGGTTCAATAAATCCCTATCAATGGTTCCTAAACAATTATGTCATACATACAATGACAGGCCATCCAACGTTGCTATTGATTGATGACTTTTTATGCCGTTTTCAGGGACTGCTCATTTGCTCTTAATTAAGACCGGATTGCTTCATATTTAATATCTCAAAATACTATCTACACGAACAAGCTCTCAAATCAATGCTGGTCCGAGTTTGCCATTCCATCAATCCTCGCACGAGCGTTCTTAAAGTTGTCCGCCATCTGTTCGGGCGTGATATCTCTCTTGGGGACATCAACTCCTTTCTGAACAGCATCCCGCTTCTCAATCTCTTCCTTCCACTTCTTCAATGTGGGCCATTCTGCTAGGTCGATTTCCAGAGCAACTGGTGCGCTTCGGACCCATGAGTAATTGGCGATATCCGCAATAGTGTATTTCGAACCCGCCAGGTAAGGGCTCTCCTTTAGGCGAGACTCAAGGACTTCGTACAAACGCTTCGTCTCACTTATATAGCGGTTAATGCCGTAGTCGGAGCGGGCTCCGGCGAAGAGCCGGAAATGGTTGGCTTGGCCTATACGCAGTAACGGGAACAGTTAACGATAAGCCATTGGTGAAATAACTGCACTTGAACCACGGGATCATACCCTGCATGGGTCCAACACCACCCATTTGGAACATAAGCCAAGACAGCTCCTCCACATATTCAGATGATCCAGGCGCGTAACTGATCTTCCTTTCTTTGTCATACTTGTCTGTCAGGTAGAGCATAATGGCACCGCTTTCGAAGACGCGTTGGTTTCCATCGAGGATTGCGGGAATACGGCCATTGGGGTTAATCTTTAGGAACCAGCTATATACCCGACTGTCAGTTTCATGCTCTCGGAACCCGCTATCGAATTCAAGAAACATGTCGCTCATACTCTTCTTTCTGAACATTGGTGCTGATGTTGATGCCTTCGGTTTTGTATGGTAGACTCAATTCCTCGAGGGTAATGGAAGCCTTCACACCATTGGGCGTCGGCCAAGTGTAAAGAGTAATGTTAGAGGACATTGTCGAATAGAAGGAGCTCGGGGATGCTTTGAACGCGGATGAAAGTTGGGCGAGACGAGATGCAGCTTTCCAAGATCCTGCACTTGACACAACGCGGGGCAACATGGAGGAACGTAAAAGAGGGGAGAGAAGAAAAGAAGAGGGCCCTTTTTAAGTCAAAGCCAGCGCTTAACCAAACTAACAATGGATGATTCTGGCAGGTTAAATTCCGCTGTCGGCCTTCTGTAATTTGTCAGCTCGGAGATAACCCCAGTGATGTCATTATATTCCCCCGCATCTCCAAATCGGGGGGGGGGGGGGGGTTTTGTATAGCATCAAATATAGCTCTTTACCTATAGTCACATGGATTGAGTATCTGTATTTGACTGTTGCCTTCATAGAAAGTCACCATTTTTCGGAAAAGGTCATCTTCTGGTAGACCTGGTATTTTTGGGGCAAGCGTTTGGTTGACCAAGTCCGGTGAGGATACGGAGTAGGTGTCTCTAGAAACGGTGTAGTTTCTGAGAAATCAACTCTACCGCGGAATTCATAATACCAAGCCCTTAAGGAATGTATTCTCCAGGTCCAATTCACGATTCCAGACAACCATTCGTCATGTGCGGCATGAAATTCATCATCGTGATGCCCGTGTCACGTCTATTAGAAATATCTATCCACCCCACAATGGAAGATTTATTGGTATTCATGAATTCATGTCAATTTCTCCAGACAAGACATTTTCATTCAGCTCCGTTGCCGTTGCTATGGCTGTACATTTACCCATTGTCTGTTAGTGGGGTTGTGTGGGTACATGATTTTCAGGAACCCGCACGCTAGTCCCAGTTAGTATTACAACTGCGAGATACAACGCCATCTTCATGTTTTGTTCCTACTGAGTCCAGACACTGTCCATTCTCATACATCTTACTCAAGATGGAAGACATAGGCCCATACCTCGACTATGATGGTGAGGACTACGAATGTCTCCTCTGCAACAGATATTTCGCGTCCATAGCTTCTCTCTATCAACACTGCAAGGACACAACCTACCACGAATGGTGTGATCCCTGTCGTCGTGTCTTCATCTCTCTCGACGCAAAGAGAGCTCATCTTCGCTCTGGCTGTACTTCTCGAGGTCGGCTTTATACTCCTCCACCCAGCCCTCCTCTCTCGGCCAGCAATCCCGGTCCGGCACATGGTCATCAGGTGAAGGCGGCTCATGGCTGCAGTGATTGTGAGGAAGAGTTTACCAACGATAGCAACCTGCGAGTGGTATTTTGCTCATATCGTTCCTTTTGAGGCTTAGGAAGGCGAACTGGAAGCTAACCCACGATGTCGTATAGCACAAAAAGACCCACGAGCCCCAAGACCTCCCCTGCTACAGCCGAGACTGCGACCGCACCTTCAAGAAGCTTTCCTCGATGCTTATACACCTGGAATCAGGTTACTGCGACTCCGGCATGGACGAAGAAGAGATTGAAGAGATCGTTGGCGCTTCCTACCTCGCCGACCAATTTCTGGATGAAGACGGTTATTTCTGCCCTGAGTGTGAGAAGGAATTTGATACCTTTTCTGGAGCTTACCAGCACGCGGAGGATACAACATCTTGCTCATATCTTCTTTCCTATCCCCATTGTCTCGCCAGGATGAGCAACCAAATCAGAAACAGGGTCCACTAGCGTTGCGATGCTTTGTTGAGGGTGTTCCACGGATCTGTTAGGAGTACGGAGTAGATTACTATCATTTCTTTCTTGTTATAAGTCCCTCAAATTGTCATCATGAATAGCTTCTAATATGTAGTTTTATTTGTTCTCTGAGATAGTCCGATAGCTGAATCGATCACATGTCTTGGTTTACACCCAACGGGAGTGATGTCTGATTCCGTCCAACAACAGGCTGAGGGAAGAGATTGTGTTCATATTAATTGACTTGTCTTGATGCTTAAACTCGATCCCCCTCTCCTCTCTCTGTGAAAGTGGTAGACGACGCGCTGAGGGGACGGAGATTGACTATCTTGTGTGTTTTTTCTCATCTCATTCTAATTTCTTGATTCAGATCTTCTGAAACCACTTTCCTCGACTCTTTTCCCTACTCTCTCATGTTGGATTATGACAAGCACGTCGAGCAAGCCTAGTGACGTTGGACATTGACGCTGTAGGCAGAACTTGACTGAATTTGTCTGTCAAAGTACGTCTTGGAATCCCTTGGTTTGCCATCGCTATCTCAGAAACGAAGTTCACATTGCTAACTCAATTAACAGTTCATCTCCGCTCCCTGTGGTACCAACCTTCTCACCTCCTGTTCAGGACTCCTACACCCAGTCCACCGATTCGACCATGGTCCTCGAAAACACCCTCAAAGCGACCTTTCAGGTTTTCGTCGGGTTCCTTGCCACCAGGTGGGAAGAAAAAAGCTCAACTGAGACGCCGGCAGTGTTGGGTCCATATCTGCACTATGACGGGGAGGATCACGAATGTCTCCTTTGTTCTCGGTACTTCGCGTCCCTCGCGTCACTTTACCAATACTGCAAAGATAAGAGCTACTATAAGTGGTGTGAGAATTGTCGCCAGGTGTACATCTCCACGCATAAACACACCAGATGCTCTCCAACCTCCCACCTCCACGCCCCCTCCCCCTGATACAGTGATGAGAGAGCTGACACACCTGTTATTCTGTAGTTATAGCACAAATCTCGGCAACACCTCTCCCGTGAAGTTTCATGTTACAGCAAATCGTGTGATAGGACGTTCAAGAAGATATCGTCCATGTTGATACAACTTGAATCTGGAGCTTGTGAATCGGGCATCGATAAGGTTGATCTTCAAGACATGATTCACTCCTCTCAGCTCAGCCGCCGATTTGTTGACGATGATGAATTCCTCTGTCTGGAATGTCTCAAGAGATTTTACACGTTGTCAGGGGTCTACCAACATGTTGAGGCGAGCGCGTCCTGCTTCTACTCGATAACATATCCGCATTGCCTCGCAAAGATGCTCAACAAGGTAGAGAAAATGGTCGATAGGTACTAGCGTCTTGACTTGTCGGTTTTGCGCTCCTCTGTTGTTTTAGATTACGCTTGCGTTGCTTTGCAAGATTTCAATATGTCGCGATGTATGGTAGATATGTGTGTATTCCTAGTTCAACCTTAAAATACAACCTCGTTTATTTGAGAAACCATTGTCGTTTGGTTTAGTTTAGTTTGATAAGGAATAATGTCGGACCGATTAGGCAAGTTCCGCCGGTCCGATGATATAGGCCAGCGTGAGCGCACGTTTAGATAGACAAGCACCCAAGCATTCAACCAGCTGCGTTTGTGGGTGAGCCATGTGTTTGAGGGGAAGGCTCGTGTACAGAATAACCACCTGTGAACTGGATGGCGGTTGTCCAATCTGGAGACATGCAGTCTAGCAGAAGCGCGCTTCTGGTCAAGGATGATCTCCATCAGGGGAATGGCAGTTTCGCGATGGAGGGCTGGAATAGGGGTGGTCTGGTATACTGGGAGAGTCCCTTGGAGAGCATCTCTGAGTACTCAGTCACGGCAAGAGAGAGAGGAATCGACTCGATTTGATACAGAGCCCTGGTTCCTGGGCCTGGGCCTGTTTCAACCCGGCCACCATGCCTCAGCCCCATAGCAAAGGACTGAGATGACACAGGCGATTGTAGCCTGTCGCAGTAGGTATGCCCTGGTCCCTCTAACTGTATTGGCTAGTGATCTGACACCAGCAGCTGTCTGCCTGGCCTTTGCAGCCAGGGTCCTGCAGTGTTTGCTGAAGCTCAGCCTCCGGTAAAACCAGATGCCTAGCCAACGCGTTGCACCGCCAGGAGGGGGAGGTGTGACTATGTGTGAGCCTTGAGAAGTGTGGATAGAGCAAGTGGGGTTGGAGTGATTGGTCCCACACATGAAGTGCTGCAGTTCTGTTTTATTAAAGTCAAATGTAAGGCCTTCTCTAGCTCCCCATTGTCTGAGCTCCTCAGTGCAGTGCTGGAGTGCTATGCAGTTTTCCTCCAAGGAGGGGGAAGCCACTAGTTGGCAAATATCATCCGCATATCCAAAGCGGCCGCATCGGGTGCGAAGAGAGCCTTGTTTGAACATGGGCTCGATGAACAACATGAAGAGGATTGGGGAGATTGGGGAGCCTTGTGGGAGACCTGCTGGAACCTGAAATGTCTGGCTTGTATGGTTCCCTAGGCGGAGACTAGCTGTTCGACCTTGGGTGAAGCTAGCTACCCATCAGACCACACTGATAGGCCATCCCTGTTCCCTGAGCCATCTGATCAGTTGTCCTCACAGGACAGCATCAAAAGCACCTTGCACATCCAATGTGACCATGGAAGCCTTCAGACCTCATGACCATGCCTCCTCAATGTCATGGGTCAGCGCTGCAGCTAGGTCTGTTGCAGAATGCAGTGGGAGAGCTCCAAATTGCCGAGGGTGGAGGATCTTGTATTTGATAACAATCCATGCCATTCTGCGTGCTATTAGGCGCTCAAGGCCTTTTCCCAGAACTGACAGGAGAGATTAGTCTGTATGCTCAGGGGGAGCTTCGGTCTCTCTTTCCTGGTTTTGGTAAGTGTCACGGGCTCGGAATAGTAGATAATATTGAATCAAAGTTCCTATCTAAACTATTGTAGCCATCGACGAGAATCTCGAATCTGGAGAAGAAAAGGAAAAAAGGGAAATCTATCTGGATAATGAAGAGGTTTTTATAGGGGTTGTATAGCGGCCTTTGTGATGTATCATCCGTTGATGCGGTGTTGGGTCGTTATATGTGAGCTATCATGTGTGAGCCGTCACAGTAAGGCCACGAGTGAGGCATCTCAGAAGGGAGTAGGATGCCAGCCCTTGTCTAGGCGGTGTTGGTACAGTGTTGAGATGGAGGGGCCTAGGGAGGGCCATGCTTTCCTAAGGATAGAGGTGGTTATACCATCTTTTCCTGGGGTGCTGTTCTTGGGATTGGTGACTGCAGTATGTATCTCTTTCTCTGTAATGGCTGGGAAAGGCAGATGTGGATCACTGATAGGCTCCAAGTTGAGCTCCACGTCCTCTGAGCAGGAGGCCTTTTGCAGAAGTGCCTGGACCAGGTAGCTTGCTTTGTCCTCTGTGGAGCTATGCAGTCGATCTCCTTCTTTTGGTGGGGAGATAGGTAGAGTGCCTTCAGTTCTGTTCCACTTTACTGCATTGAAGACATCCTTTGGTTCCTTGAATTCATCAACCTTTGAGTGCCAGAAGTGGCATTTGCTGTGCCGGACAACACAGCAGAGGGCCTGTTTAGCATCCCCAATGTCTTCTGATGTGGGAATTGGGTCCCGTGCAACCCTGCGGAGGGTCCTGACCATCCTAGTGCAATCCTGATTCCACCATTTTTGGCCGCAGGGCCGGGGGTATGCCCGTTTGGTAGAGGCCTCCAGAGCTGTGCAAATTGCCTGGGTGATGCTGGCTGCAAGCTCATCTAGTTTGGAGGGGGAAGGACAAGGGGGAAGAGTGGAAACTAATTCATCCACATGCTTTTTCTCCCCTTGTATTATCTCCTGGAATGACTTCTCATTGAGGGTGGACCAGCAGAAAGGGGGGGGGGGGGGGGGTGTCTCAGGGGTTATCATCTGTGCCCCATTTGATGGTTGTGAGGATAGGTTCATGGTCTGCAAGAGGTGGGAGGTCTTCCGCAACTTCTGAGGATATCCCAAGGTTGAGCAGAGCGCTATTGGCCCAAGATAGGTCAATCATGTTTTGTCCTCGAGTTGGTGAGTCTGGTGGGAGTGTTAGTGTGAGGTCTTGTGATTCTGTCCAAGATAGGAAGGGTTCTGCTCTGGAAGAGGGTTAAGCGGATGACTGCCATGTAGGATGTTGAAGATTAAAGTCTCCAGCTATTAGGCAGGGGAGGGATGGGGTTGTCTGTGCCGTGAGAGACTCCAGACCTTGCCCTTCATCAACTGCCCCGCAGGGGGTGTTATAGATGTTGACCAGGAAAGCTGTCTTCTGAGGGGTGTTGATTCAGACAGCCAGGATGTCCCTGGAAGGTGGTCTAAAAGGCGCTAGTTCTGCTTTTAGGTGTGGGTGTTTCATTACATAGGTGAGGACTCAGGGCCTATCTGCCCAGTCCTCAATCGGGGCGAGTTGGTGGAATGATGGGTGGTGTTTAGATTTTCGACGGGAGCGGTCTGTAAAAATCCAGGGCTCTTGGATTAGCACTGCATGACAATTATTTTCAAAAGCCAGTTGTAGTGCAGTTTCATGTGCTCCCCAGTTTCAGCCAACATTCAGTTGGAGGATTTCTAGATGAGAAAGCCTATCTAACATGATAGGGGCTTTTCTCTTGTCGGTGAGGAGCTCAGGTTTCTGGAGGGCTCCATTGTAGCAGTCTGGTCTTTAAGCATCTGCTGGCGTGCATCTGCTTTCCTGACTGCAATGAGCTGTGATCTGGATAGTCATTGGATGACTCCCTGTTGTATGGTAGGTCTGGTGGGACAGTTTGAGTGATCTGCTGGGAAAGGTCCACAGCAATTAGTGCAACTTGGGTCTGATGTTTCATCATCCTCAGGAGAGGAATGGGACTCTTTAGTGTGGTCCCTCTTGCTGCAGATTCGGCATCTAGGTGTACGGGTGCAGGTCCGGGGGTTATGGTAGTCCCAGCATTGTGTGCACTGCTCTATACGGGTGCGGAAGGGCTTCAGCTTGATTTGTATATTCTTGCCAAAGAGATTGATCCATTTTGGGACTGCTCGGGCTTGATCTTCAGGGATATCCATGATGAGAGTGTTAGCTAGAGGATTTTTGTTTGAAAAATAGAACTTCAGGGGGACCACCTCCGATTTGGTCTGCCGTTACCATACTAGCGACGACTTTACGGACATGGA